TTTTACAGAGGTACTTAATGACGGATCTGATTTCAACTTTCTCCATTTGTTCTAAATGACTAACCCCTCTACTGATCAAAGTGTGTTTTATGTCACTTAATCTGTGTAAAACCGCGTGTAACTCGGTCAATAATCTTCAATAAGATATCGGTATGGACGTATCTTGTGTAAATGTCAGGGTAGTGGCTAGAAGTATATCGGGCCGAAAACGTTTTGATCATACCTCGTAAGAAATCGTATACAAATACAGTTTCAGTAAAGACACAAAAACTCGAATGGCCATATCAGCTTAAAATTCGCGACGAGTGCGTTGATGTTTAAATTTACATTATTTGCTCTTAGAATAGTTTATCAAAGGGTTTGCTTCGAATCATATCGGACACAATAGAGGAGAAGAATAGAGAATAGAAACTTCTTGTTAATCAATGCTTTTATTCAAACGTACTTAAAAGATATTTTTTGTTTGTAACGTATGTTCAAAGTCAAAACAAACATCTCAAAATTGACTGTTTTGTTCTCATCATATGTAAATATTTGATCGAAATAGTTCTTAAAACGTTTTATTTTTTAATTTATTGAAAATATATCTCGTAGGTCGATATAATGTATAAGCTAGTATTTATGAATTACTGTCAATAAAAGAAAGTGATTTTTTATTAAGAAAACTTTTAAATAGATAAATCAATACATTTTACTGTATAGACATATTTTCTATCTGGGTGAATGTTTTTATACAACTTCTGTCTGGCAATAATAAAGGTTTTAATTACCCTTCAGTAATTAATTCTCATTTTTAAAATTGTATTATAAAACAGGATAATTACTCCTATATTTTTTTATTCGGTACAACACCAAAAAGATTTTTTTAATATTATTTCATTTCAAAGATGTCAGATAATGAACTTATTTTAGCGATAAATAGTAAATATAGCTACATCATGCGCTATTGAATTGTATTGACGTACTGTTAAGTCGCGATAAGGTTACTGTAATCGCTCTCTCTGATTAAATAGTATTTTTACAAAATGATTTCAATTATATTCAAATTTCAATAATACTCTGATCCAGTTTTGGTGTAGTTCATATTTGAATATTTCATGTTTGTCATTTTTATAAAACTATTATTTTATATCATGTCGAAGAAATGGTTTATATTATAAGTTATAACCGGAGGTGCGTTTAAGAGCACTACAGACACATCAGACAAAAAGTAAAATGGCTACCAAATAAAACAACAAACGTACGAAAAAGATCTTATAGACTAAGTCCATACACTACTGCCAGTGCATAACAACAGATTCTGGTTTTCCTTTGTTTGTATGGTTTGTTTGGTTTTACGGCGCACCAACACAAACTAAGTCCTATGGCGTCGAAAACAGGAAAGATAATTTTGGCTAACCTCGTGTGTTACAAACAAAAAGTAGCACCAGGGGTCAAAACCACCTCACCTGCTGAAGCTAAGAGATGCAAAGACTCCAGTTTTTCGAACTCATTTATTCGCCTAATACGAACAAACAAGGAAAAACGGTGGCTGCAATTCTCATACATCAACCCTTGAAAGCTACCATTCGGCCACAAAAGGGGTTTGCTTTAGGTAAAATGTTCTGCTCTAGCAAAGTTAAATATTGTAATAACAATGTAGAGAACGGGAGATCACTCTTAAACTATAAACATTCAGTTGACTGTGTTAATGAGAGATTAACTGTTACTGTTGTTCTTTGGAAGATGTTGCTCTTAAGATGGTCGTATTATAGAGGCTGCACTGTACATTTGAATAGTCTAAATCTTGTTTCTTTACAAGCCCTTTTAGGCTTGTAATGATACTTATTTAAAACCCATTCTCACTCCCGTTTTATCCGTGAGACAAAGCAGTGTTCTTATTTTGCATAAGTTTGCCTAGTATTCATCAGTGCTAAAAAAGCGCAATCAATTTACCTATTATTTCAGACCAAAATTCATCTTTACTTATTTGAATTATATTGCTTAATATTGTTGCACTCAACGAAATAATTTTCAGGTCACAGTTTTGCATTGTCATTATATTCAATACAAAAAGAGAAATATCTGCCTTATTGTTAAGTTAAACAAGTCGGAAAAAATCAAGGATTACAGAGGTACATCCAAAATGTGACCAATATCATCTTTGACAAGTTACAAGAAATTATCATATCATTTCCAGATTATATCTTCTTATTTCGTCAAAGATGTTTTAGCGTGATATTGACAACTTTCTTGTCAAATTTAGCTCTTTAGAACTTTTAAGTACATCGATATAATATTTACATAGTTAGTTTTTACAACTTGATTGACATTTGTTACGCTGATATTACTGAGCTAAACGCCAAAAATGTTCTATAGGGTCTCGATAGTTCATAGTTTAAAACAAATTTTGAATCTACATTATCAATTTTTTTTTCTGAAGAGCTATGTGACAGATATGTTGAAGATACTCCGATTTAAATTTTGAAAGATGACAAATTGTTTAACAAAGTATGGAAACAGGTCGTTTTATAATGATATTATTGCAATCATTTCATAAAGCATTAGGCCTAAACCGAGGCTTTAATCTTCTTGTCAATTTCGGCATGCGTTCGGTAACTCGTGTCATTCGGTGCATGTGAACTAAAGGAAAAGAAACGTACTTAAAACTTAGGGGTTTAGTAGAACAATTACATTTTCTTGCAATTTACAAGCATTTACATGCAGGGTAGTTTTCTATGCGCCTTATTTATTTATTCATTTATTTTTTTTTTATTTATTCATTTATTTATTTATTACATTCTATCTTTATTTCTTAGGTTCATCATAGACTTTGATTTTTTGATGAAATATTCTTTGTTGAAAAAAAACGTAATAATAAATTATGTCATTTTGAAATACTCGTATTTTCACACAAAAAAGAAATTACACAAACAGTCATAATACGTTTCAAATATTTTCATTTACATTAATGTTGCGTTCCATTTGCGAAAACAGTTCGATTTTCAGTGTCTAGAAGTTTTTATTAATATATGGTATATTATGTTTTATTGTATAGATAATGCTAGAAGTATTATTTACAAAGATATTTCTTTTAATCAGAAAGTTTAGCGCGGAGGAAGGAAGTCTAGTACTGGTGTAACTCTCCAGGAACGATGGTTAGGAAACTACCCGCCTATATGACTGAAATACTGTTGGGAAAGGCGTAAAATGAAACAAACAAACAAACAAATTATAATCAGAAGGGACAATACTACGGTAGAACATTTAGTGAAAGAAATTTAGCGCTGATCTCCCTGCTCCAAAATCAATGTGAAGTTATACAAAAATATGGAATATTTTTACAGCACACTTTTCATTTCAAATACAAAACAAAGAAAAAAAATCCAAATTTCACAATTATATTTGTTATACCATTTGTTTGTCTTCGGTATACCACATAAGTCAGGTCCATTGACTTGGATATTCATCATACAAATACTGTATATTACTCTCAATAAAGAAAACGGTAATATACGAAAGGCTAATAGTGACAAATAAAAAAAATATATAAAAAATGCAAAGGCGTTATAACGCGAATAAATGCGTTTCACGCTTTTTGATTCGCGTTATAACGCATTTATTCGCGTTATTACGCTTTTTGGTTAGCTTTATAACGCCTTTTTGCGTTTAAACGCCTTTCGATTTGCATTATTTCGCTTTTGGTTCGTGCGTTACTACACATTTTCGTGTTACTGCGCCTTTAATTTTGCGTTATTACGCCTTAATGCGTTATAACGCATTTTTTCGCGTAACTACGCCTTTATTTGAATGGTAATGCCCTTTATTTTGCGTAATAACGCCTTTCAATATTATATTTTATTTCATTTGATACTATTTGAAACTAATTTTTTTATTTGGTAAATTTTCAGGGTGATCCGATTTATTTTCTAACGTAAACAAGCTCTAAATAAGCGGATGGAAAGTGCACGTGTTATATTCATGTTTGCGGCATTGCTGTCCCTTTCTATAGAGTGTAAATGTTCATAAAATGCTTTTCGTTGTATTTTTGACAGAAAGAACGCAAGCTATATCTGTAAATTCATTTTGATTGGTCGGATAGTACTCTATATCCTACGGCGGTTGATTTGCGCCATGTCCAACTGTGTTCCGCAGACGAAAACACGAACATACGATAAAATGGCCACTTTGCCATACTTCTGCTCAACGGGGAGCAAAACGGGAAGTTGTTTGTCATATAACAAATATTAATTTAAAATTTAATGAAGCTTTGTATTCAGTTTACACCAACTTCTTACCAGTCATGTTCCTTGAGATAAGAAGTTATTAGTGTTTCAATAAGCTTATAGTTTCAAACACAATGAAAGTAAAATACATTCGTTTTAACTAAAACTAAACATTGAGATTGTTTAAGAAACACAATATATGGAAGGCTGACCTGTTCAAATTGATCAGCAGGGAACGGCGGACTGCTTTCGTTTAATTTACAGTAAATATAAATAAAAAGACAATGGTGGTCTCAAAGTATTGTAAATAAGTTGAGAAAGCTTTAGGTCAAATGTTTGGACCACTTGTATTATTTAAATTTATAGGACCAGTAATTGATTTCCGAAATTGCATTAGGCGTAATGCTGTAAAAGGCAGGAAGCTGAAGAGGGTTTGGGTATTTCAAATATTGACTTTATATACCTTAATTAATAATATATTAATGTTTACTTGTAAAAATAAACTGTACAATTGGCCTTTCAATTGGCTTTCTTTAAAGTTTTGTGAACAATTTAGTCTTTAAATGGTAATTTTTTCATAAAGTCGTTTCATTTTTTCAAGAAAAATATTGTGCTTCTTACTTTTCATTTTTATCGGATTGTATCATGACGAATACACGTATTAATTGCATCTTGACATTGAAAAACAAACATTTATATTTGCTCATTTTGATTGTTATTTGTATTTTTTATTGTATCTATTTTATAGTGCTTTTAAACAAATCGAAGCAATTCATTATAGTCGCGAATAACTTTATGACAACGGAGCTTAATGTGAAATACGCATGCATGAAACCTTGTTCCGATTTCACACGGAATACTGGAAAACAACAAAATGAAAATATACAAATAACAACTACAAGCCCGGCTGAAAGACCTAACCATTGTAAATCATGTTTTAATACTAATTTTCCTCTTCTTTTTGAACCAAAGGAATTATGCCGGGACAAAGAGATCAAACTCGTCATATTCATCACGTCTGTTACATCAGAAAGACGTCATCGTGACGTCATAAGGCAAACATGGCTGTCAGTAACGAAAAACAATTCAGCCGATGTGCGTTATTTTTTCATTCTCGGAAAAGTGATTGGAAACTATAATCAAGAAATACACAATGAACATATTGAGAATAATGATATAGTAATGTATGATTTTATTGACACGTACAATAATCTAACTTTAAAGACAATGCAGGGTTTTAGATATGCAACATCGCGATGTTCACAGGCAAAATATGTGATGAAGACAGACATGGATGTGTATGTTAACTTGCATGCAATACTGTCTAATCTACTAACCACTAATAAGACAGGGACAAATGTTTCTAGAACTGGGCATCTTGAACCTCCTGTACAATATAAAAACTATAAAAGTGATTATCAATTTGGAGACCCTCTATATGATAAACAGGAGATGTTTGGTCTTCTTTGGCACGAAACAGTACCATATAGAAATAGTTCTAAGTCTAAATGGTTTGTGTCTGCGGACGAATATTCGGAAGACTTTTATCCGGATTACTTTGACGGTCATGGTTATGTTTTCTCTATGAGGATAGCACAAAATGTTGAAAAAATTTCCAAGAGTGTTCCTTTCTTCAAATTTGAGGATGTGTACGTAGGAATGTGTTTAAAGAAACTTGGATATCCTTTAATACACACACAAGGTTTTATGAGGATTGATAAAGACTTAACACTCTGCTCACACAAATTTCAGCACGTGTATACCGTGCATAGAGTAAGTATTAATAAAATGAGGAGAATCTGGAACGCCACGTGTCCGCTTTATGGTTTACTGGAGGAAGAGATCAGTACAAAAAAGAATCATCATTGGTTAAAAGTTTATGTGAAGCAGGAAAGAAATAACGTAAACACAAAGACAGTAGGTAGTGCTAGTGAGCATCAAACTGTTAAGGTGTTCAAGTTCTCTTATGTTCGGCAATACAATTAATAATGAATAAACACGTCGGGTAACATCATCACCCTGGCGCATCCCTTAAAATGGATTCTTCTGTAATAGGCTCATTTTCAGAACTTTTTCAAATATGTCTGTACAATATCTTATATATATTGATAAAAGCAAGAGAAATGTATCAGTTGGGTATTTTTATAAAATATTTCTTGATAAGAAACATTTATACAATGAAAAATAACAGTTCATTATCTATTATAAATTATGTAGATATATTAAATCGGGTTATGTATCTATTCATCATTACCAACCCACCAATATCCATAACGGATCCTGTAAATCACACTTACTAACAACATCCAGATATTTTTCTTGCGTTTTGCGTTTGTTTTTTTTTTTTTTTTTTTTTTTTTTTTTTTTTTTTTTTGTTTTTATTATTATTGGATTTTACGTCGCACCAACATTGTAATGGTCATAATGCGATATTCGGGCTATATTGGTGGAGAAAGACTTCAGGTGCCCTTCCGTGCATTATTTCAGACACGATCGGGCACCCGAGTAGAATCACCGACGGTCCGTAAGCTAGCTGCTGATTTATTGTCATGTTTTATACTAAAATCTATCAAAATAAATTAAGTAATGAACTTACACGAATTTAATATTCCATTTATAACATACCAAAAATATAGACCGTTTGAAGTGAAAAAAGTCCATTATTTATTGACGCGCCTATAATGTAACGCTAATATTTAGCGCGTCTTAGCGCTATGTTAATATAACGTAATTGACGTCACGTCAAAATATATGCACGGCCGTGCAATACCATTTCTACGGAGTCGCAAAAACGGCACGGGTATGTGATAGAGGATATTGAATAAGTGTAAGTTCATGACTTCATGACAGGAATGCATCCAAAATCCATTATGGGATTCCAACCCACACCGATAATTAAGTTATTTAAAGTCAGCGTCATTAACCACTCTCCTACGTGGCTCAAGTTAAAGTAAGAATTGTTGTGTTAAAAGAAGACGTAAACCTATTAAACGGTTTGCACAAAAAGTATAATTTTAACTTATTCCTATGTTTTAAAAGAAAATTATATGTAATTACCAATGTTTTATTATGACAGGCTGAAATACAGTATACTTGTTATTAAGTATACTTATTATTCATACATAATTACCATTTGTATGACATATATTTATCAGTATCTCAAAAACATCCTGTACATTTTAAAAATGTTAATAGATTCGGAAATTAAGAATAAATTGTTATTCTACGTTACTAACTTATAACCAGTCAACTGATGGCAGTTGTAAACTTTCGAACATCAAACCAACGGCGTCGAATTTTGATACGCAACCGAGCGGTCTTACACCGAATAATATCTTAGTACTGATTATGGTAACAGTGGAAAGTGCTGTGCTTTTCTAAATGCGGCGTGCAGAGTATGATATGAAAGCATTCTCCATGATGTTTGTGATTAAAGTAGCATAATAATTAGTCCGTCTAAGAATCGGGTTGTTCATTATCGATCTTAATAAGCAAACTTTAAATATTTACGTTTACATGTGAACAAACAGAACTTTATATTGCTGATACGTAATATACTTTGAAACAGTATTACAATGTAGCAGAAATCCTATATTATTATAGCACGGCTGAAATTGTTTCGCAACCTGCCAGGTATTTGTGAGCACTAGATCTTTTGCATGCATTGATGCCTTTCAGCAAAGTGTTTTGCTTTAGTTTGGCAAAAATACACTCACAGTTGTAAATAGGGACTTACGTTGGATACCATTTGTGCAGTCAATCTGTACTGTCTTGGACAGTGTTAATAAAGAAGAAGATTCATGGCTTATTGTTCTACGACTTTGTTTTCGACGGTCTTTTCTCTGTATGAACTCTGTGAACAAACTGTGTAATTTCAATGTATAATATCACTGTGTAATATCACTGTGTGATATCACTGTGATATATATATCTGCGCATATATTCCACGAAATGTCTGATTTATTGTTCACTGGGGTCATCGGCTCTTTGGCTACAAGAGCGATTTTATACCCTGTTGAGCAGGTGCATTTAGGTTGAATTTTGTTGTTTACTTTTTCGAATTTGTTGTTAAGATAAGGAAGACAAAAACTGTTGCATAATTTATTTTTTAACTTAAAAACGTATAGAAAACGGAAATAAATCAGTATAGTTTGATAAAATCTGGAAACGGGTTCGTCATACAAATTGGACAACAAAAATAAAAAGATATAAAATAAATAAAGTAACTCTTAAATGTAGATATATTTTTGAAATCTCCCAGTTATTTTACAAGATTAATATGAAAGAACTTTAACAATATCCATTAGGTTAAATATGAAAAACGTAACAAATCACGTTGTGACAAACAAGAACATTCAATCAACTTCATTTACCCATCAAGTGCAATAAAAACAGCGTACCGAAAGCTATTTATAGGGCACCAATGGCGTTCGTTCCTAAAAATAGAAGATCGGGAAACGAATCGAGGTATGGAGGGGTTTCCTTATTGTTTATGTATTTTATCGACGGCAAATTTCATTTAACACTTTAATTCTTTTAATTTGACAATATTAAACGGTTTACCTAAAATAAAATTATGATATCTAACCTTGAGAAAAAATGAAGGCCGCTTTAAAATATTGATCAAAATGCAGCTGAAACAGAAATAGTTACCCGTGGATCAAAGGCAAGATTCAACAATTATTAAGGATTTAAATTAAACAAAAAACAACAGATACATATAATTTGTACAGTTGACACCCCTCATACTAACAATGGTACGTCCCAAAATCAAGGTCGCATACTCAAAATGAGTATGCTTAGTACTTTCGTTCTTAACACATTTAAATGTTTTCTTTTGGCAAATATCTTAAAGTTTATAAAAGCTATATCTGATGAAATATTTTATCAAAATTAGAAAAAAAAGAGAAGTGCTCCGTAACAAAATATTCCGGTGCTATTTTCAGTAGGTGTCCTGAAAGGCCCATTATACATCAGAAATGCTTTTATTTATATTTCTCAAAATATTTTTTTTTTTTTTTTTTGGTATGTTTTTTAAAGTTTCAAGAAAGTAACTCATTGTCAATTACCTGAATCACTTTTTTCATCTGTTGTATTTTGTCAGTTTGTACAGTGGTGGGGATTTAGTTGTTTGTATGGAACTCAAAATACTACTTTATTTATATTTTGCTACTTTTGTGACACATTATTTAACATTAATCGCTAATTTCTTCAGGTTACAAGCCTCTAGAATGCTCTAAAATCATTACCTAAATGTTATAAAATTCATGTTTCCCTTTTCTAAAGTTGTAGCATTATATTTGTTTCCGATACATAATGGGCCTTTAAAGATATTTCACATAGCTAATAATTCAAATGCATGTTGACTTAACCAATGTAATCTTAGCGCGCTAAGGTCATCATTAATTCAAACCACCTTTACCAAGAATTTATTACCATCCATGCTCCACACTCAATCAGGGGCAACTAAGGGACAACTAAGGGACAGATAAGGGACAAAAAATTAAAACGATATGATTGGCACATTCAACAAACACATATTTACATAAAACGTTACAAACGTAATACTTTTTCCTGTCACCATATTCAGTTAATATCACGATCATATATATATTCTTATGTGAATAAATATTATCAATATAAAATATGAAATAAACATAACATGTAGATAATTGTTTGTACAGTACTTTTACACAATAATTAACGCAAAAAAATAATAGTTTAAAACAGGCTTCTTTTGTTCATTTCTAACAAATTAATGTAGTAAATAAAAACAATTTTTGAAACAAATGCACTTAGTTTAGTTTATGCCTGTTTTATAAAACAAGTTCTTACAACTTATATTAATCACTTTCGAGTCCGCTTCCTGGACTTATACAGTACTGGTGTCAAATGAGGAAACTTGGTCGTGATCAGAGTTGGGCTCGAACACAAGATCCCTGTGTCGAGAGGCAGACACCTTCACGTAAAGGTATGTGTATGTACTTAATCGCAATGCATTCCAAAACTATTGCTTTAACAAGCTATTTTATCCTAACACATTGGCAAAAAAACATTTAATTTACAAATATGTCATATTTTCCTTTATCGTGAATAATTGCCAGGGCATAATAGTGTGGTATTGATATAGGAAATCATTTACCACATAGTGGTATGTTATTTCAACAGTACCCTGCATAAGACATTGTTTTAATAATTAACAAGTGTGGTGACTGAATTAATCCGCCTAGGTGATTTTTTAGTTTTAGTAGGTCCACGGTTTGTTTCCATTCGTCTTATAATGTATTTTTGAACTTTTTACAAATGAAATGAATCGTTAAATAATGTTAAAATGTGTTAACAAAACGAAAGCGTTTTAAATAATTCTTTCACTATAATGTAGGGCATGACCAGATAAATACATTATAATCAAGCATCTCTTAACTCTTGAAATTGATGGAATTATCAAAAATATGTTGGTTGCTTGAACAAGCAACTCCAAAAAAAATCTTTCCAAATATATAATCTATATTATAAATGTATGGTAATATCCGTTCTGTAAAGTATATGAAATGTAGAATGTAATCTACGCCGAAAATTGTTGTCTGCGCATTCTCATGACGCAGACGAGAATCTCGTGTGGTAATGTCTAATTTACTATCATCAGTAATAGTTGTCGTATGTATAACGTCCCCACGCTTCTTGTTCCACTTTTGGCCGTCTTATATGATACTGAAATAAAAGAAACAAAATTACAGTTTGTAATAAGAATTCCATTGAACTTTAATTATATATTTGATAACAATGTTATAAGATATAAACAATAATTTAGCGGTACAAAATGTGTCCACTGTATACTTGAAATCGACCTTTATCCTTTCGGTACTAGAAGTTATTAGAGCCAGGCAAGCCTGAACTTCTGCGTCATCTAACCTGGCAATATATTGTTGGCAGCTCAATCTTTGTATTATGATACTAGAATTCTTTAAATATTGAATAAAATGTGATGGACAAAGCCAATACACGAATTCAGCTGGATAAGGGTTAAATCTTTAACAGCAAAAAACTTATTTATTGTACAGGTGTGAAATTTTACCTTATCGTCGCCACGGCTTGTATGAAAGAGGTAGTTCCAGGTAGACTGACCAGGCCTTGTCGGTTCTGAAATTGACACACATAAACATAAAAAAGAAGCTTTATTTAACTGTAGTATTACCTTAGAAACTGCTAAAAATATTACAAGATTAAAAAAAAAAAAATATGAGCATTGTGTACAACTCAGAAAATTTAAATACTGTAAGATTACACCGTGATAAAAATTTAAGAATTATGAAACATTCATCTTTAAATGAACGCACAGTTTGTATTGCATGTAGTTCCATGTATTTAGACTCCATTCCAACGCGTTGTTTTGTCAGTGAATGAAAATAAAAGTTAACAAAAATGATACACTCAGCACAATGTTTTGATACATACCATTCTCAAATCTATCAAATCTGTAATCAAAATCAGACGTTTCACTCGAGTGTTCGGAGGGTTCGTAAGCACGTGTTTCTGGTGATACACTGAAAGGTCCTGGCACTCCTGTGATAACTCGCACGGGTAATCTGTGACCAAAAAGAGAACTGCTCCGGTCGTCTGGTATTTCCCTTCTGAAATAATAGTTCCAATATTTTAGCTCGAATGCTAAAATAAAAGCTCGAAGCTTTTAAAAAATCTGGACAGTGTGATCTCTCGGAAGCATTATCACACATATTATCTAGATTTTCCTTTCTTTTATGTAAGAAACATCTAAAAAATTATAAAATTAAATATTATGTTTTTTAAGATACATGTGTATAGATAGTACCTTATATGATTCAAGATAAACTTATTTTTGATATTAAAGTAAAAACAGAGTCATTTCAACTTTTCGAAATAAAGATGATAATGTTAATGAGGAATATTTTCTAAGCAGATGGCGGCATACCTTTTGGCGCGTTTTCTGTTTCTGCTGCGTATGAACCATACCAGGACAAATATGGCTAGAGCACATAATAGGAACATTGGAATACCGAAACCGAGGCCAAATATCAACGGAAAATTGTCTGAAATTGTAAATTGTTATAACATTTAATAGATCTAATTGCAAAATTACAAAATAATTATGATTTAACTAGCATAATTTTTAAATCAAAATATAAACAATAAAAAAAAGTTGCGTTATACTTGGTATTAAATGACACTGTCTTTTATTCCTATCAAAATATATGAAAAAATATTGAATAAAACCAACTGCCTTTGATTAATATGCATGTTTTATACTGAGAAAAACCTTTCTATCTCGAAAAATTTCTCCAAATTTTGATTTTAACAATTTTACTGTTACAAACGTGTATTTCATTAAATAAAAAATAAAGACAAATCATCACAAACTATTTTTTAATCAGTAACATAATTTCAATTTAATTTCATAGCATGATATTTTTAAAAAGAAAACTGGTAGAATATTAACAAACGTCCCTAACTCTTTGAAAAACTAGCGACAATAAAGACTTTCTATCAGTATATTGTAAAGCTAGCCTACACAGCCATGCTCTCTGACCAGATTACATTCGTCCTGCTTAAATCTAGCTTCATTTTTTTAATACCCCTTAAAAAAGTAATGTACTCTTCCAAGATAAAAAAAAAAGCAGAACATGTTCATTTTGCATAGTATGGGTAAATTAGAGTCTCATTTTAATCCTTTTTTTTATATATTTCAAAGAATAAACTCACCCTCCTCATCAGGCCTGAAAGTTAAAATATACACAAAATTAATAAGAAATCATTTAATTTATAACGTAAAAGCACATATTCAACGTTGAGGTAACACGCTTGCAAACGAAAAATCCTTATTCAAAAAAAAAATATAATCTCCTACAGCCTTAGATTGTGACACCTAACCAGTATCATTTCTCCATGTTTACAGTTTTGACTCTCAAACAATTTCTAAAATTCAATATATTTTAAATATAGTATCTGTAAGTATACCCTTTTTATACAGGTTTGTTCTGATACATATTTCATTATGATATTTGTTTGCAAGAGGAGAAGTTGTTCATTTCAAATGTGAAAGAAATTATGAAAATTGTACAAATAATGTTTTTACTACAACTTACTCGCAAACTGGTTTTCCATTTTTGACCATACATGTATAATCTGTATTGCAGTTATTTATAGAAGCTTCATAAGCTTTACATGTAAGGGCGTCTGACGCGGCGTTCTGTCCTGTTGGTACTGTAAATATAAAATATGTGATCATGTTATTTTAAATCATTTAATTTAACAAATGCATTACCCTTTTGTCACATAATGTAACAAATGTTTTATCGTGTATATTTAATGTAACAAATACATTATACTGTTATTATATAATATAACAAAAACATTATCATTTTACATAACAATTAAATTGTCATTTTATCTTTTAACATTACAAATACTTGATCAAGTTATAACCCAACATACCAACTTTGTTTTAGTACTTAACAAATTAAACGCCACGTCAGTACTAAAAATAGTATCTAATATGATAACGTTTCTGTCAGAAAATTAAACGTTAAAACCTTTTGTTGAAACACTTTTTGTGAGACAAATATTTTGATTGATTGTTGAGTGGTGTTGCTTGAATGATGTAAAATATATTATCAAATTATTACTTTGCAATCGAATTGAATCACTTTCTAATACATCAGCCATGTTGTTTCAGAACTAACCAGTACTGATGTCATATAAAGGAACATTGAAGCCATCAAGTAGGGCTCGAATCCACATTTTCTCGGTTGAGGATTATAGGCAAGTTTACCACTGCATTAGCATATCAGTCTTTACAAAATTATGAAAATTATAAAAATCTAGACTTTCCGCGAAATTTCACCGGATATTACAAACCTTCATCGTCAAATGAATATCTATAAAAATATAATCCTTACTTGACGTGTTTTCTACGACAGCTCTGTTAACTGGACTTGTTTGATCAAAGAGTGTTATGTTTTCCTTGTGGGATGCCAGGTCGCCATTTGCCTTGCCAAGGTCAGGTAATGACGTCTTAGGTAAAACAACATTGTAATCGGCCACCAAACTGCCTGACCTGTAGAAAAGTGTAAGCAAATAGCTTAAAACAATGTAAAAATAATTCAGTGTGTATGTAATATTAACACGTTAGATTATGATGAAATACTAGAAATTTTAGAAAACTCTACCTTAAAAATAAACATAACTTAAAGAAAAAAGGTTGTCGCTATGATCAACTAAACACTCGTAATCTTTGGTGACTTTGTCGACACCCATTTGTACCTTCATATTACAAAAAATATCATACAGATTGTTTACATTAAGTAAATAGTTACTAACGTTATACTGTTGACGGTGACAGTGAACGTGACATCACCGAGGACTCTCCTTAAATATGCTGTCATCTGAAAAATAAAGCGGACACATAATTTTTATTAATCAATCATCATATACAGTAAAAAACACTTTCCATTCATTTAATTATGACGATTATCTATTATCATCATTCTCATCATCCTCATCATCATCATCATTATTATTATTATTATTATTATTATTATTATTATTATTATTATTATTATTATTATTATATTGATCTGTTGGCGTGGCAGAAAGCATATTATCCCTAACCACTGTGGGTTAGAATCCCAGTAGCGACTTATATGTATCTGTATGATGAAGCTATCCAGCTAGCTAACATCGTAATTTTAACCACGTGCCCGCTCGCTCGTGCCTTAATTAATGCACGAATTAATGCATCTTAGGTATTCCTAAGCTAGTAATACAGTGTGGGTGTGACTTATAACACAGCCAAACAATGAGCTTGTTATGTTATAGAGGATCAGAACCAGGTATATTGGGTCTGTGAATATGATGTAAAATGTGCCACGTCACGATAAAACCAACATAGTGGGTTTGCGACCAGCATGGATCCGCGCAGTCTGATCAGGATCCATGCTGTTCGCTATCAGTTTCTCTACTTGTTATAGGGTATTTAAGCGAACAGCATGGATCCTGATCAGACTGCGCGGATGCGCAGGCTGGTTCGGATCCATGCTGGTCGCAAACCAGTTATGTTTGTTTTTGTCGTGACGCGGCTCAAATATTGATATGACATCGTTTTCTAGTGGTAACAATTTTTAAGTTATATTCTTATCTACAAACACTCAAGATCAAATGGTCAATTATTAGTCAACCCCAAGGATAAAACAGTAATAAATCACATCCAAGGGTTAAACAATAATAAGACAAATCACATCCAAGGGTTAAACAATAATAAGATAAGTCACATCCAAGGGTTAAACAATAATAAGATAAGTCACATCCAAGGGTTAAACAATAATAAGACAAGTCACATCCAAGGGTTAAACAATAATAAGATAAGTCACATCCAAGGGTTAAACAATAATAAGTCAAATCCAAGAATAGAATAATACGTGTCTTTTGAAGTTTGTAATACCTTATATTCATTTACATATTAATTTTTGTAATTTTTCTTTCACCATTCATGTTGGACCCATAGTCGTTTACTTGCGGAGAAACTGGTTAACATAGGCTAGGTTAACTGACTGCCACGATATGGCCGAAAGTTTTGTTAAAATCAGTGTAAAAACAGTCAAACAAACAAACATTTTTTATACTTGCAGCCCTCTATCAAAAAAATCTGTATAACTTAACAAAAAAAATTTTTTAAAAGGTGGCGCAGAGGATCTGCCTTATATTTATATTGAATATAAATTGTGTTTGCTATGAAAACAACAATTACCTTTGTCTTGAATTCCTCTTTATATTGAGCATTTGTTAAGGTAACTTGTAAATTTCCTGTTAAAGTATGTTCCAAAGTCAGTACAATGTTGATCGAAACTGTCGCCGCTAAATAGGAAAAAATAGAATGCTGGATTAGATAAAATGCACTGAAACGAACGAACTATATTCTTTAAATGAAATTGTTAATTACTTAATTAATATGTTATTGACAGGATAAAGTTAGGTAAGAAGCGTTTATATAATCATGGATATTGGACTGTTCCAAATTCAATACAGGTGCGAATACATTACACAAGCCAGCAAATAAAGGCAAATATTCTCAGGAATTATTGTAGAACATTGTAGAGTGTGCACATACCTGGAAGTGCCGCGGTGGTTACTCCCGGGGAAGTATCTGTAAAAAACAAAAGCAATAAAAGGTTATTTATGTACATAGATATGAATAAAATTTAAAAACCATATATTTGATTTTCACATTTGTAAAACCATTAAGTTATTAGGCATCATAAACTGTTAAGCGCCAAGGTAATTTCATTATTATTTTCATGATTGGAAGACCTTCAAAATATTTAACATATTCTTATGAACACTGTGCTTTAATAAAATAGTGTTCTAATATAATAAAGATGAAATTTTAAAAAGTATTTCGAGGTTTAATTTTTTAAAGAATACCTGTGACACAATTTCCGTTTGTATCTCTTACATAGCCCAGCACACACGAGCACTCGAACCCTTCCACTGTATTATGGCAACCCTCATTGTCCTTCGTACAATTGTCCGTATTGTTTGTACATTCATTTATGTCTGTTTGACACCGAGAACCTTCCCAGAATGCGTTACAGCGACAAGTTCCGGTGATATGGTCACATGATTGTGTTGGGACTAATGTATTGGCGTTAACACAGTTACATGACGTTCCACAATTGTCGCCGTATCCATTGTTAGTGCATGCTGTAATATAACACATTGATATATATTACACTTTTAAAATAACTTATTACGATTTTTTGCATTGTGTAGCCAATTAAAATAAAATAAAATCTTTATTTCTATTACGATTAGTGATTGCAAACTAAATAAATGACTATCAATTCAAACTGAAGACATTGCTCGTGCACTTATAACTATATTAAGAATCAGTACATGTTAGTGTTTGTCGTTTTGTTAGAAAAAAAACATTACCGTTGCAAACATCTTGATCTTTTATATACCCTGTCTTGCAAGCACATGTGTAGCTTCCTACATTATTCGTGCATAATTCGTTAGCACCACACGGGTTTGTATCACACTCGTTGACATCATCAGCGCACGTGACGCCTTGCCAACCAGCTTTGCATACACATCCGGTCACGTGATCACAACGTACTGTATTATCACCGTTGCAGTTACACGGATTAGCACATTGTTCTCCCCAACTTGCGGAACACTCTACAGTGGAGTTAAAATTATTTGTTTTATTTAATTAATATCAGTTCTATTCCCATTCTTACATGCTAATAAAAAAATGATAAAATATTTTAAACTACATTGAGCAGTGATTTTCTTAACGTCATTTGGTTTATTGATGTTATATTTGACGTCATATAACGTGTAAGCAATCCTTTTTTATGCTGTACCTTTATCGTTTTCACTCGATTACCTTATCTGTTTGGTGAAGGTGATAGAATCCTTTTTAATCAATGTGCAAGTCGAAGCGTCGATAAGTAAAATAACGTCATAATAGTGTTTTTCTTGGTTATCTATTATAATATCCATGTATAACGGAGTTCAACTCTTATTTAGGGAGGGCATGCCAATATTTTCTCACCTCTTGAAATACTATTAGACACAGATAAAGAATGGAACTAAAAAGAACTGTATTCATTATCCAGATAATACCCTAGGTTCTTTCATGATGATTGAATTTTCATTCAAAATATAAACGTATACCAAATGGGTCTAGGAATTTCCCATTTAGCGAATTTGTGTTGAGGTTAAACCTGCTTGGAATAATGGTGAGTAATATTTTTTTATAGCATGAAACAAGAATTATCATAATATACAACACTGTATACGTTTTGTAAACTTACGTGTACAATCATTTCCGGTTCCAGAATATCCTATGTCACATGAGCACGTAAAAGAACCAATCGTGTTGGTGCATTTCTGATTACAATTGTCGGTATTTGCCGTGCATTCATTGATGTCTGTTAATACAAATTATAGAACGTCAATATACATTAAACGCCTTTGGTTCATATGAAAGTACCGGAAAGTGGTATTTATAATGCTAGAGGTATATCGCATAAATCTAATTTAAAAGTGTTGCTGAGTTGGTTAAACTACAGAACGGTAATAGGTAGTCTAAGGTTCGAGTCCCGACGAAACTTGGAAATTGATTGATGCACGCTAGAATTTGAGATTGGCAGAACAATCTGTGTATTATTTGTTTTGTGCTGTCGGACAGAATAATCTTTGTATTGCTTTCTTTCTATTGTCAGATTTATAATATTCCTTGTGTGTGAACTTTATGAGAACGTTCTGTCTGGCTTCAATTGAAGAGGTTCATATACATGTATATAAGGGACCGAGTACCTCAGCAAATAGGGACATCAAATAATGCAAATTTTCAAACCATTACATACAACTCTTTAAAACTTTAAAATACTTGAAATTTATTTTATCATACCAGGGTAACAAAATTTTTTCGGACCAGGTCAACAGTTGTTTGAATATTATTATTATTTAAAGAAACTTTCTGGGGTTTTGAATAAAGTATTAGATTGTTTTTTCACGTTTTTACCTATACACTGCTGGTTGCTATCTTTTTGATAGCCTGCATTGCAATTACACACATATGAGCCGTCGTTATCTTCACACGTGGATAAAAGTGGACACGTGAACGTGTTTCTCGTGCATTCGTTTATATTCAGATTACACGTTGTGCCCTCCCAGCCAGCTTTACATGTACAAGTTCCATCCACAGAATTACAAGATGCGGTATTACTTGGTACGCATGCGCAAACATTCTCACAATTTTGACCGAAAGATCCTTGCTCACAAACTGAAAAGGAAAAAATCGTTTGGTAATTATTGTTCATGTAGTATTATTTATATATTTATATATTTTTAGCTTTGCATGCACATCCGGTCACGTGAACAGATATCAGCGGGATGACATAGATGTAACACTTGCTGAACAATTGCGTCTAACACTATTTCAATATGTCGCCTGTACAAAACAAGATCTATTTGCAGCACTGTATAATGTCCAAACGCCATGATACCATTGACGGTTGCTAAAGTTTGGAACACATAGACCATATCAATCATATCGCTTCATATAAAAGGCAAGCCCAGATCACCAGACACAAGTTAAGAAATCCTTATAATTTTGATCAAGCATTTACAATAATATATTAAATTTTTTATGTATTATATGATTACGCCGCTATTGCGCGTTATAACAGTGTGTTACAAAATTGATACAACACCCTACCTTTGCACATATCGTCTGCTGTCTTTATAAACCCAATATTACAGTTGCAGACATATGATCCTTGGGTATCCTGGCATGTAGAATCTGCCGGACAGTCGAACGTGTTTCTCGTACACTCATTTATATTTTGATTACATATAGTCCCTTCCCAGCCACCATTACATGTACACGAGCCGTCAACGGCATTACAGGTCTCTGTTTTGCTGGTAATACAGGCACATTTCTGTCCACAGTTTTCTCCGTATGTCCCTTCATTACACACTGCAAAATGAAACCAAAAATAACAAATAAAATTCTGTTATTCAAATTAGATTAAAAGACATGAACATTTAACCATTTATCTGCGACAAAAGAAAAAAAATGTGATATAAATATTTCTACTTCAAATAAGATAAAAAAAAAAGCATGTCATATGAAAATTTAAACATTTATCTGAAACAAAGTTTTTCTACTTTATAAAAAGCGCGTGAAGTTGTTTTTCAGCTAATGGTTTAACCAATAAATAACTAACCATATGTTAAATTAATGATGTTATACCATGTGACTAGGTAACAATGGTGTTATACCATGTGACTAGGTTACAATGATGTTATACCATGTGACTAGGTGACAATGATGTTATACCATGTGACTAGGTTACAATGATGTTGTACCATGTGACTAGGTGACAATGATGTTATACCATGTGACTAGGTAACAATGATGTTATACCATGTGACTAGGTGACAATGATGTTATACCATGTGACTAGGTGACAATGATGTTAAACCATGTGACTAGGTGACAATGATGTTATACCATGTGACTAGGTAACAATGATGTTGTACCATGTGACTAGGTGACAATGATGTTATACCATGTGACTAGGTGACAATGATGTTATACCATGTGACTAGGTGACAATGATGTTATACCATGTGACTAGGTTACAATGATGTTGTACCATGTGACTAGGTGACAATGATGTTATACCATGTGACTAGGTTACAATGGTGTTTTACCATGTGACTAGGTGACAATGATGTTATACCATGTGACTAGGTGACAATGATGTTATACCATGTGACTAGGTAACAATGATGTTATACCATGTGACTAGGTGACAATGATGTTATACCATGTGACTAGGTGACAATGATGTTATACCATGTGACTAGGTAACAATGATGTTATACCATGTGACTAGGTAACAATGATGTTATACCATGTGACTAGGTAACAATGGATGAAATCTTTAGATATGAGATTATACATAACTTCAATAAACACCATCAAAATAGTGTACTCGTATATACTATTTTACTTTTACTATTACCCTGCTGCTTAGCCTTTGCCACCAGTAAAGAGCCGAGCCAGCCTGTAAATTCTTCACATTCGTCAAGTCTGACCAGGCTCTATACTAATGGCTGACATTAGATCTTGCTACCCCTGAATTGATCATGGACAGTTCCAAAATGGTCGCGCTGGACAAATTTATTGATAAAATGGGGGCATGCGCTTTGCAATTCATACCTTGACAGACGTTTTCGCTTGTCAATACATATCCAGCTGCACATTTACAATAGTAAGAACCTTCAGTGTCGACGCATGCCGAATTCTCAGGACACGTGACTGTGGGGCATTCATCAATGTTATCTGCGCACGTGGCGCCATTCCATCCTTCCTTACACGTGCACGCACCATCAACATTACTACACGATTCTGTGTTTGCAACCACACAATTGCAAGGCTGTGTGCAATCGTTACCATATGTATTATCAGTGCATTCTAAAAGAAACAGTAAAACTCGAAACTTAATATCAGACTTTCAACTATCAACTTTCCATCAACATAACAGTATTAAAAGAAAATAACTGGAAGCTGTCATATATAAAATTATTCATCTTACAATAAAAGGTAATTTATCAAATTCAAACTTTTCATAAAAATATATAAATATTAATGGAAAGTCTTGTGTCAATAAATACATGTAATGTGTACGTAGTACGTACATACAGAGCTTGAACTTGTAAAATGGATTTTGGTGAATTTATTGCAGCATTTTATCTTATTCTACCCACATATTAATTAGTATTTCTAGCGGGGAGTTTTATTTAATTTAAAAAAGTGACTTAAATTCTGTACACCAGCATTTTTTTTGCAAGCACATTCACTTAAACCATTTCAAACCACTAAGGATATACATGTACAATATACAATGTAAATGGCTTTAAACATTTTGCTTGTCGACTATTAAATCTGTTACGTAAGAGAGCATCTGTCCAGCAAAGGACACTAGCTCGAGAATCTTAGGTTCCTTAAAGGGAGACACATGCAAAATTTTCTTTTCTTCGAATTTTTTTTTTTCAATATTCTATAAATTTTTTCCACAGGAACAAAAACTTCTCCCTATAAAGAATAGAAAACTACGAGAACGTTAAAGTACCTGTCAAATGAATTTCTAAGACTTATTTTAATATTCACAATATCTGTTATTGTAATTTCTAGAGTTTTTCTTAGTTATATGACTAAATGTTTTCAAACTACTCAGTGACTCTGTCGGCGTCTTAATTTCCTTTAACATGAAGATATAATTACGCTTTAAGCAAGCCCAAAAATTTATAGTATTTATTCAAAAATTCATGCTAGGACTTTAAAAATGTCATTTTAACATGATTCGAGTAAAAAAAGATTAATTTAATATTTTTGTCATTAATTTGCGAAAATATCCCTTTATCATTAAAGTAAACTTCAGGAACGGACAGCATAAGTGACAGGCATGATCAAAACATGATCAAAACAATAAGATAAACACAAATCTAAATGTAACCTCCATCTTCTATTTATAGAACTTTGTGATTTAAATTCTTTATAACATTCTAAGAATCTTGTTATTTGTTACGTAAATGGTCATAATGCTGCCTAGCAATTCAAAAAGAAACATTACCAATGCACGTGCTCCTGTCCGTGTCTAACTTAAATCCGTCCAAGTTACACGAGCAAGTATATCCTCCAGGAGTTTCAGCACAGTCTTGTGAGCAGGGACTTGGGTCAAAATTGCATTCAAGTATATCTGAAAAGATACAAATATTAAACACTCAGCATTTGAGCCGCGTCGTGACAAAACCAACATAATGGGTTTGCGACCAGCATGGATCCAGACCAGCCTGCGCATCCGCACAGTCTGATCAGGATCCATGCTGTTCGCCATTAGTTTCTCTACTTGTTATAGAGTTGCAAGCGAACAGCATGGATCCTGATCAACTGCACGGATGCGCAGGCTGGTCTGGATCCATGCTGGTCGCAAACCCATTATGTTGGTTTTGTCGTGACGCGGCTCATTTATATTCTAAAGTCACTTAAGCTACGTCATAGGAAGTGAGAAGTCAACAGCTATAATCACATCTGCTAAATCTAAATGATGAGAAAATATACACTATACTGGTTTGTCGTGTCTACCATAGATCCACATCATTATTTTGAGACTGACTGCGCAATATAAATGCCAGATTTAAACTGCACAAATACCGCTCTTTGATGCATTCCCATGGCATAACTCGTGATTGTTCTCTGTTTTTTAATGTTGTTCGTGCGGTTCTAGCCTCTAGCTAGAATTATCAACACAACCTTAACTTTACAATTTTACACAAGTCACTACAGGGTATGTGTGACAGGAATATTGGGAAAATATTTGTTATTAAAGAATTTAAAAAAAGAAATTATTAATACATGGGGAAAATGGGAATATTTACAAAGCATTTTTCAGCGTGTACGATATTTATGAAAATAATAGAATCAACCAAAATTGATTTGAATGAATATGAAACTTCACACAATACTGTAAAATATCATCTATATGAAAGTAAAAAAAGTTTCAAAATGACTATGAAAATGTATATGAAAACATGTAAATGAAAGTAAAATTGTATTTTTATAAATTCATTCATTAATTATGACATAGGCAGACATACACATATATTTTACCTTCACATACTGTTGTGGATCCTGTAACGAACTTGAAACCTGCCTTGCACGTACATGTTGCTGTCCCACTAATTACAGCACAGTCCGTGTTTAATCCACATGGATTGGTCACACACGTTTCAGCGGCTTTAAAGATAAAATGTACATGAATGTGGTAATTTTGTTGTTTCTTTGTTAAAACGAAGAAAAAAATAATAATTTTCAAAGCATACAGTATTGTTTTACGATAAAGAAGATACAGTTCTGTTTTACGATAAAAGAAGATACAGTACTGTTTTACGATAAAAGAAGATACAGTACTGTTTTACGATAAAAGAAGGTACAGTACTGTTTTACGATAAAAGAAGATACACTACTGTTTTACGATAAAAGAAGGTACAGTACTGTTTTACGATAAAAGAAGGTACAGTACTGTTTTACGATAAAAGAAGATACAGTACTGTTTTACGATAAAAGAAGATACAGTACTGTTTTACGATAAAAGAAGGTACAGTACTGTTTTACGATAAAAGAAGGTACAGTACTGTTTTACGATAAAAGAAGATACAGTACTGTTTTACGATAAAAGAAGATACAGTATTGTTTTACGATAAAAGAAGGGCGTTAACGAGACTTCAAGTAAAATTTAATAATTTTAAAATGATTATCAACGTTTATTTTTATAGAATTTTCGATGACATTCTACATGATAAAGACAGTGTATTCATGCCCACAGGGCTATTATATCCTCATTTATTACTTCTTCCCCACACGGTCCGTGCCACGATATATTACCAAAAGCCTAAAACCATAGAACTACGATATTCTGAAACAGTCATCTTGGGTATTTAAAACGACATAAGTTGTAGAAAGAAATGAATGGTCAGAATAGTATTGAAAATCAAATATATTGTTGTTGTTTTTTTGTTCTGTAAATAAGTGAATGCGCCTCACATTTTCCCTCCGTCTACTTAGTTTGAATAATCCCGCATTTTTGAAAAAAATGCCTAAATGAGTAATTATATTATAGTCAAATCCGACATCAAATGATATATTTAAAATATCGTAAAAATATTTCCCTTCCCGTCATTAAAAAAAAAAGAGAAAGAAAAAACAAAAACCTCAGAAGTGTCCTTTTAAAAAAGCAGTTAAATAACATTAGCGAAGATGAGTTATTGTTAAAGATATGAAGTTTTCAATCAAAGTTTATCAAGACGGCATTCAAGCATATCATGATACCTGTGCACGTGACCCTGTCTGTAAGGTCAAGGTTGTATCCATCGTTACAGGAACACCTGTAGCTTCCAAGTGAGTTGGTACATACTTGAGTACAGTCATGTTGACTTTGGCATTCGTCAATATCTAAAAAAAATGTTGCGAACAACGATGCAAGCATTAAAATTGTTTCATTAATTTCATAAATAATTTTAATAAGAAGTGGTTAAAACAATATCATAAAATTTAATAAAAGTTACTTGTTTAAAAGTTGAAAGATCAAATCTCTGAACAATACAGAACAGAACTAAGGCTGGGTCTACTAGACAATTTGATGTTGCTCTGTTTAGAGGGACATAAATGTAAACCTGTAGAGCATGACCCTACACCTCGTGCATTATTTCAGGCACGCCATGAACCTGGGTAGAGCCGACATTATGCTGGAAAGCATCTATACGTGCAAGCTTTCAATATACTTGGCGGGATTCGAGTCCACAACCCGAAAGGCAAAGAGAATCGTTGGCAACCACATTCACAATCGGCCACAGTTTCCTTTCTCTAAAATCACAAGATTAAATGTTAAGAGTTGAATTAAAAATAAACACATTATAGGTCACAGAGAAGTATTCTTACCTTCGCATTTACCATCTTTCTCCACAAAGCCAGCAAAGCATGAACATGTATAGCTACCTACAGTATTGTCACATTTCTGCTCGCAAATACTAGCGGTACTCGCACATTCGTCAATATCTATAAAAATATCAAAACAATATTGTTTCAATTAATATCATAAACATTGTTCTTAATATTGAAAATTTAAAATAATATACACGTGACAACACAATACATCTATAAAAGGTAAAGGTCTTGTTTATTATAGTGTCACCCCTACTGAAAGGGCCAGCCATTTTGACTTATGAGACACCTTTTGGTTGCATACCATGTACCTCCCAATTCCTACCACTATGCCTGGCGCCAGGCGGATAGAAATCGGTAACCATTCATTTTAACTACCTCGCGGCTCACGAAGCGGCCATTTCGGAACGAGTCCCACGAGAAACATTCATCCTTCAATTAACGCTCCCCGTGGGGCTCGAACCTTCGACCTCCCGAACCGAAGGCGGACGCCTTAACCACTAGGCCATCGGTACCGGTTATCTATACTTGAATCTTAAGTTACGAAAAAATGGATACACAATGTAAAGAAAGGCAAATAGACCGTCAGTTAGATAATAAGCTCGTCAGAGGAGGAAAAATGTTTGTCAAGGGAGGTAATAAGATATTAGAAATATCATTTAACGCACTCAAAAGTAAATTTTTCGGAATATTCAGATGTACGACAGATTAGTACGTGTGTACTGAAATACTTAATAATGCAGGTATCATATTACAATTTGCATATACACACCTTCACATACGTTATTTGCATTTTCTTTGTAACCCGATTTACACGGGCACTGGTAACTGCCGGGAATATTCACGCACTCCGTGTTGGCCGCCGTGCACGGCGAGTCAACGCATTCGTTTCTGTCAACATCACATTTATCGCCGCTCCAGCCTTCTTTACAAACACAGCCCGTTACAGGATCGCACTTTTCAGCCCCAGCGCCACAAGCACACTCATTTGCACAATTGACACCATAGTGTTCGGAGTCGCATGCTGAATAAACAAAAGATAGGTATAAAACAAAATTATAATAAGAAAACAGTCTGTATGCTTCATGCTTCCTGCTGAAGATCATGTCTTTTATACAAGAATTCCAAGCAAACACAGTCACCTGGTATTGTTCATTCTCATACCCGTCACGTTGTTTTTGTTGTTGTTGTTGTTGTTGTTGTTGTTTTTCATCTGTTGTTGTATTTTGTTATAACATAGCAAAGGGACACAAATATCAACTTTTGATATCAAATTCTTTATAAATAGTTATCTTGGGGGTTTAGTTTACCTAAATTTATTCAAATATACACGCGAAATAGAACAATGCAACAAAAGTAAATGGTCCGCGCAACAAGTTCTTACACCATTACATTAAGCCCTTCATCTTAGGGACGGGGAGGATGTTCTATAACATGTAAAAATGTAAAGCATCACTATAGGGGATCTAGACGTTTTCTGAAAGATTTAGATATTTGAGTTGGCGGGCATCGACCTCACAACACATGGATTTGTTGTCAGACATGCTGTGTTGTCACTAACCCATTGCGGCGCCGCCTCCTATTCTAAAACGATTGGACAGCACACAATTTACAAGATAACGAGAGTGACGAAAATTACGTCATGAATATGCAAAAATAACCTTTCCTGCGTTAGTCACGTAGTAGAAATATAGTGTTAAATGTTGCCAAATCAGTCATTAATTGCATATAACATGTAAATTAATTCTTCAATTGTGAATATTTTTACTTTTCTTTAAAACTTAGTACATTTTTTCCAGGTTGGTTTTCCTGAAATATTTTAGCTCACCTAGAGGCACGCACCTTTAATATATATTCTGCCTGTCCTAAAATTATTTTCAATGAAAAACAAATACTAAAGGAGCAATTTCTAATACACACCTGTACAAGTAAACTTGTCGTTTTCCAGCTTGAACCCGGGACTGCAAGAGCAAGTGAAGCCACCGTTCACATTGACACATGTATCTTTCTCACTGCATTTATTCAAGTTCTCGTTTGGATCACATTCGTTGATATCTAAAGCAGAGATTTATCAATGTTAATTATTTGATTACAGTGTTAAATCTTTTTTTCTCGTATAATGACAAGACCTAAGTTTAAAGTTGACACAACGCCCATTTGACACAATCTTGTCTATAGAATTCATAAGCCGTGCTCATAATTATTCATATATCATGTGAATTGACTAGTATATTGCATGGAATAATATAAAAAAACAACATTATTTCGAATTAATACATGAAATACATACCAATACATGTTTGGTCGTCATCACCAAGAATGAACCCAATTCTGCACGAGCACTTGGGGGCATCATTAACAAACTCACAGATATGTGAGCAGCTGACGGCAGTAAACGCCGCGCATGGATCCTCAGCTATAACAGAAATAAATAAATAAATAAATAAATAAATGTTCCTTCTTTGTCTATAATGTCAAAATCACGAGAAGTGTTAGAATTTCTAAATGTCAATATTTTTCTAAGGAAGGTCAAACGTCGAAAGCTAAAGAGAAACGTTTGTTTTCATTGAACATATTACATATATATGTATTATTACAGCTTTAACACAGGAATATATTTGTTCGGGTTTTTTTTCTGGTGTTTAACATATTTTTGGTCATAGCTCGGCGGTCCATCACCCTTACTCGCTTTCCTGGATAACTAACCAGTAACTACCAATTCCTCATCAAGTATAAGACCATAAGACTTATTGTCCGATCATTATATGGCAGTTATAGTGTTTAAGTATTTTGCATTGATGTCAAAATTACCTCTTCATTTCCGATTTTGCTACCTTAATGATAAATTTTTCACATTCTTTTTGATAAGCATCTTATATACTTTGATTTCATTTTAATAAATATATATTAACAACTGTTGCTCATTCTAAAGAAGAAAACAAATTACTTTTAAGGCATAGCTGCCTTATTAACTTTACACGCTCAGCAAAGGAATGGTATGGTAAATTGTAACGAGAGTAAAGTAGGCGGTACTAAAGTTTTGGAGTTCCTAATACCGTACACTGCGCTACATTTCGCAGTGACTTAGGTAAGGCATTAGATAAATATATTATATAATAGTGATATATTTAGTAAATTAGTGAAACATACAGAGGGTACACGTTTTTCTGTCATCATTTATGGTATAGCCAGATTTACACAAACAGCTGTATCGGCCGATGTTGTTCACACAGATATGTTCACAGCCAGATACCCCATCTGTACATTCGTCTATGTCTACAAATATCAATTAAAAATTATTGATTAGTGTCTATAAATATGTAAGGATACATTTTAACACATTAAGAAGTAGTATGAATTAGTATTAGTAGCATACTTACATATGATGCAAGATTCTTAGTGAAATAAATAGATATTTCACGCAATTCTAACATTAAATTTGTATTTGTTATTTTTTTTTCTATACCGCAATGTACTACAAAGGCTGGATTTTGTAAAAGGCCTTAATTATACATTATACCATTCCAAGTCCTATTTCCATTAACGTAAGACGGGGAAAGTCTTCCAAAGTAAGTTTATATAGACTTCAATAATGACTAAATATCTTTACATACACTGTCACACAGTTAAAACCAGAATTTTTGGCTAAAGAGTAACTATTTGTTGCATAAATGCTAAACTGTAAACAAAGAGACGGGTACTTTCGTGGGTGACTACTACTTTAGACTGTTCTAAAAAATGTCTAGAAACATTGCATATTATAGCAATGACAACCCCTACGTTGTTAATGGTAAAGTTTCCTGACAATATTTTATATTTTTTGTAATATTACTTTCAACGTTCAACGGTCATTTTTTCAACATGTCGGACTGTAATGAATATGCCGACAAGTTAAGTTTTGGTAAAGCTGGTGCTTTCAAGTGTAGAGAGTAGCTTGCATACCGTAAACGTAAAGTCCCAGTCAACCCCTGTCTGCAATATTAATTTGTTGTTTCGGCATGATGAGCGCTCTTTAACGTTTCCATTTCATCTATAGATATTATTTAAAATTGTATTCTGGCAGAATATAAAGCATTGGAATTTGGTGATATTAAAAAACGGTTTTCCTTTACCTATACATTTCTTTGAATCCGTAGGGTCAACTCTGTAGCCTGAAGGACAGCTGCACGAGAATCCACCTGGTGTATTCGTGCACACTTTTTCACATGTATTCAGATTTATATCATTACACTCATTGATATCTGTACGAGAAAATAATCATTTCATTGCATATAGTTCATGGTATTATATTGTGGGTAGTAATTTCACAATGTCATTAGATATAAAAGTGTTTAGTTACTACAGATAAATGCATATCATTATGACAAAAGGTATACAATTTATCATGTAATTACATAGAAATCATGGTTTTTATTGGTAAACTATCGTGCATTATTTCATTGCAACTGTTCTTTTTATTTATTTTATTCAGTAAAATACAAGCATTGTGTCGACATTTAAATCAGTTTTGCATTTAATTTACACATACTAGTACTTATAGTAATTATTATAATAACGTTTTTGTTACAAGCTTATAGTTATATGTAAAATACGGTTGACATAAATGAGCCATGTCATGACAAAACCAACATAGTGGGTTTGCGACCAGCATGGATCCAGACCAGCCTGCGCATCCGCGCAGTGTGATCAGGATCCATGCTGTCCGCTATCAGTTTCTCTACTTGTAATAGGGTTTGTAAGCGAACAGCATGGATCCTGATCAGACTGCGCGGATGCGCAGGCTGGTCTGGATCCATGCTGGTCGCAAACGCACTATATTGGTTTTGTCGTGACAAGTGTAAAGAGCCGTCGTCTTACCAACACATTGTGCATTCTCGTCGGCTTTGTACCCTGCAAGACAGCTACACTTGTACGAACCAACAATATTTACACACTCTTTATCGGTGTCAGTGCAAGTACCCAGTGTGTCACATTCGTTGACGTCAGTTTCACAATTAGTTCCGGTCCATCCGGCACCACAAACACAACCGCGAACTGGATCACAACTTGTGGCGCCAACATCGCACTCACATTTACTTGCACAGTCGGCGCCGAAGAATGGCGGTTCACAGGCTATGCGAAAAATAGTTCGAGTTGCATAAATTCCATTAATTGTCTTTATATTATAATTATATAAAATAATATTGAATACATAAATGTCACTACATTCAATCGGAGAAATAGCTTTAACAAAATATTATTTTGTGTGAACGAAATTAAATAGACATGACAACTGTATATTCCAGGCGTATAATGTCGTTTAAGATAGCAATTATTCTATAAAAATTCTGATGTGTACCCAAATATGTCTCATATGAATTTAATGTATCATGAATTAAAATTTAATGACTTCGTGATATTCACACAAGTATTAAAGAGCAAATATGAACAAATTTATTGAGTGTGTATGGGGAGGGAGGTAAATTCCCTGGGGCCCAAATGCCCGTACCAGATTCAATGTATAATATGTAAATTTTAATCAACCAAAGAATGAAAGCAAAATCAGCCCTAAATGATAACCGGGAGAACATACTTGAAAATTTGAAAACAAAGGTCAACATTTAAAACAAAAAGGCAGCCAACACAAAATCAAGTCTTGAGGGGCAGGAGAGAAGGCGCAACTTTGCAAAGCTGCTGTAATGTTTTAGATTGTTTTCTGTGGTACAACTTTTGTTAACAGCTACTTTAAATATTAAAACACAGAATTGTTGCACGTAAGGTACTATTTCACAAAGTGGACTAATTAGAAAATGTAAAGTTACTATAATTGTAAATACCTACCTTTACAAGATACTTTGTCGTCTTGTAGCTTGTATCCAACATGACAGCTACACTCAAACCCTCCTTCATTATCTTTGCAAGTTTGATCACATGGGCTAGCAGTACATTCGTCTATATCTAAATCATTAAATATTCGTTACGATTCGAGTTCTGTATTATTACGTATACATTAAGAGATTGAAAAATATTTCTAAACACGAATAGTAAGGAAACCAACTACCGGTATTGCAGTAGGTAAAACTTCTATTCTCTGTGCCAAAATAACTGCATGCCTTCATTATCTTTAAGACATATGAGTGTGTTTTGGTACCAGGTTTCTCTTAGAAAAAGATATAATAAAATTTATTTCCAAGTGTTTATAAACATAAATAACTACACCAATGTGTGTCGTTTTTATATCCATTGAAATTATAGATGTAGCTTACTTGCGCACGTGTTATCGCCTTGAAGACTGAACCCGGCTTTACAGAAACATATTGCATTATTGTCCTTATCAAGCGTGCAACCTTCTGCCTTAGAACAGTCAATTGCGTCACATCCGGTGGGTAAAGCAGCATCTGTAAATATGATAATTATGAATGAAAAATTGAATGCAATAGATGGTTAAATGCTGTTAATTGTTTTCCTTTCCATTTCTATTATTGTAATTATTATTATTTTCATCATTAATATTATTTAGCTGAATGAATAGTTGATCTTGTTCGTACGACATGTAATATACATGTATATAGGTGTAATAAGCATTTGCCGACGTACCAAAAGGCACTTTTGATATTTTTGACAGTGGTTTAGACATTTTGAAAGCTGAGGAAAGTGCATTATGTATGTACTGCCTTGGATTGTATTAACAATTTTAAGTACAGCGAGCAGAATTCTGAAATCAAACACTAGACAAGTAAAGAAATGACGTCAAATATTTACCTTTAGCGCATGTTTTTGTGTCTGCGTTTATAGTGAACCCAGTTTGGCAAGAACAAGTAAATGCTCCAGCCGTGTTTTCACAGATCTGTTCACATCCACTTGTTGACTCATCGCATTCATTGATGTCTGAAATTAAGCATTTGAAGTGACATTATGCCCATCTAAGGGTATTAAATTGGTGAAGTGAAAGTTTAAATAAGTTTAAAGTTTGCCATAATTCCTTTCAATGTTATTCTTCGCATGGAAGGCAAATAAATCACGTGGCTAGGGAAATTTTCTTAAGATATCCATCGGAATTTACCTGTTATGTTCAATTTATAAAAGAAGTAGAACAATTTTGGAACTTTTACCATAACATTTTTCCAATATCGTATGTTAGTCAGTCGCCATTATAACAGTCAATCTTTTAATAAGCTAAATTTCCTTCAAGAACTCATCTATTTCTGTATAAAGCAGTAATGTTTATATTGCAACAATCATTTTTTTGTTAAAAACAATCATTTTTCCTGTTTTAGCGCCATATGACTTAGCCATAAAACCAAGTATTACAGCTAAAACAAGCTTGTATATTCATATATTTGCCAGATAACAAGTTATTTTGACTTAAGAACTAATCTGTTTCATTTCTGAACAGAATTGCCATGTAAAAAAAAGTGACGGCATGCCCGAGTAGTTAACGCGTCAGACTATAAATCGAATGATCGAAAGTCGCATGGGTTGAAAAAACACCGTCAGAGTCCAATCGTTGTTTTCTTGAGCAAGAAACGTTTGTACTGGTTAGTTCAAGGAATGAATTCGAAAGTGTGTCTATAAGAATATAGCTTCCGACACAACCGAAGTAAAATAAATTATGTATGCACTAAAACAAATCGGATAAATCAATGAATCAATACCGTTACAGTCTTTTTTATTCGGGTCCAGTCTGTATCCATTGTTACATTCACATTTATAGCTCCCATCTATATTTATACACTGTTGACCACATATTGTAGTGTCCGTGCATTCATCAATGTCTGAAAATGCAACAGACATAAACTATATACATTTTATCCTAATTAACTTCATCCATTTTATTCTAATTTCATTTCATTAAAATCTCTTTAACTAAGATGTCGCGTGCGAAGTTGTTTAAAGGACATGTTTTGTTTAATTAAGGTGAAATAAGATTTAGTAAAATGTCTCTTACCTTTACATTTTGCACCATCGGCTTCATAACCAGTTGGGCATGGACCACATGTAAATGCGTTTAAGCTCGGGTTGGCTTTGTGTTCGGCGGCTACTGTGTCCGTACAGCCACGATCAGAGCAAGGTTTAGCAAAACATCCATCAAAGTCGTTCTCACAGTCGGCACCTTTAAATATGATTACAAAGTTACGATTATAAACAGTATCATCATCATCATCATCGTCGTCGTCGTCCTCGTCATCATCGTCATCGTTGTCATCATCATCGACGTCGTCGTCGTCATCATTATCATCATCTTCGTCGTTATCATCATCGTCATCATCATCGCCGTCATTGTCACCATTTTCATTGTCATCATCATGTTTTTGATCCAAATTAATATGACCAATGTAACACAAATACGAATTCTACTTTCCATTCTCTTAACTTTTATCTTTATATTAATATCTGTACATTTACTTAAATTTATGATTAAAGCAATGTAGGACATGCGCATTGTAAATATACGCTTAATTGATGAAGAAAATAAGGACTGATAATGTTATACCGTCATAATATTCTTCACAGGTGCAAGTTGCATATTTGAAAGTGTCTGTTTCCCGCGCATCTTCACGTATGTTGTCATAGTCGCAGACACCACGTGAGTTACAGCCGGTACACAGTACTATGATGAATTCTAACGCCGGCGATTCTGCGCCTTTGTCGTCCTTTACAACTACACTGAATAAACCAAATAAGCCGCGTCACGACAAAACCAACGTAATGCGTTTTGCGACCAGCATTGATCCAGGATCCATGCTGTTCGCTATCAGTTTCTCTACTTGTAAAAGGGTTGGTAAGCGAACAGCATGGACCCTGATCAGACTGCGCGGATGCGCAGGCTGGTCAGAATCCATGCTGGTCGCAAACGCACTATGTTGGTTTTGTCGTGACGCGGCTCAAATGTTTAAAATGTTTGATAGCAATGACTAAAGTCATGATAAATTGATTGCTTAAATGCCAATTATCCTCAAGAAACGATTTTATTTTTTAAAAGCTTTTTTATTGTTTTGGTTGCTGTTATAGTTCACAAAAGGTTATTTTTTGCCAATTACTAGTACCTTACCCATCTTTTACTTCTGTTGCTGTTTGTCAAATAGTACACTTATAGCTAGAGTCATTAAGTATTTTGTATGGAAGTCAAAATACTACTTTGTTTACATTTTCCTACTTAAATGGCAAATTATTTTACGTTTAGCGCTACTTTCTTCAGGTCATTAGCAATTAACATGCTCTAAAACGATCATTTAAACAGTTGAACAGTAGAATAATAGAATCTTTAGGAAGAGATATTGTTGACTTGGTAATTGTGTAATTAAGAAAAAACTGATACAGACTATGCATAAACAAGAAATATACTTATTGCATGGTCATATAAAGACACTCCAACTTAACATGCAGAATATTGGCCTGTGGTGGCACTGCGTACATTATTTCAAACATGTGTTGAATACGAATTGATTAACTGAACTAGCTACCTGGACTGTTTCCTTAAATTGTTCACACACTCGCCACGTAAAAACATTCGCAACCTACTTCTTATTATGTCACATCTTGAAAAAGATCACATATCATATTTCAATATTATACATACAGTATACAAAATTATTGTTGATGATAATTAAATTACCTTAGAGATACTGGGTTTTCATTTTGGACAGATAAATTGATTTCATAAGTCCCAGCAGTTGCTGAGGCGGCTAAAGTTGCAGTTGCTGTTGAATCTATCAGCTCGGCTGTTACAGTGCCGTCATCTTGCCCTACTACAACAATCTTCTTATTCTCATTGATCATAGTATGAATATAGTATAATTCATCCTTTTCTATTGCTCCGCTACTTGGTGCAACGTTAGGAATTTCGTTGGCTGAAACAAATAAAATATATAATATAAATTATATCTGTAGAATACAACACATTCTCTCTGCGTGTCGATGTGGATATAAAGTTTCATTTGGGTAAGGTATGGATAATGAACAGTTATCGTAAATTAGAAGTAAATTAGAGCCTTACAATATTCGAAATAAGATCTATACAGATACAACAGATATATCAATCACACACACGAGTAGAAAAAATATCTATATAATTATCATTTAAATACATTTTGAACATTGAACGTTCATGTAGGCTTTATAATACTAAAGCAATTTTTAACTTTAATATTTTTTATATTAAAGCTGCATTAAAGAGCCCAAATATTTCACGAAAACCAAAAATATAGTAAGATTTTAAATAAGAAAAGTAAACACATTCACAATTCAAGAAATATTTACATGTTATATATAATTAATTAAGTATTTGTCACTTTTTCTACTGGGTGACTAACGCAGTTAGGGCTATTTTGGTTATTCTTTTTCATTTTTTTGTGGTGAAATTCGTAGATCTAAGTGTTGTTTACAACCTATAAATTGCTTTCTTTGTTGACTTGACTAGAGTTTACTTTTTGAAACATTCTAAACATTTTCATGAAAATCAGTATTAATATGGAGGCATGCTGCTTTAATGTGTTCTTTTTATGTGGGGGTTTGTGTCTGTAAGATTTCTGCGCACTTGAACTCCAAACAGTATTATTGCGCTCCAGGTAGTGTTCATGATATTTCATTTCTTAGAAAAATCAAAGCGCGCACGAATAAAGATAATGATTCTGCAAAAGAACTAAACAAAAATAGTTTATTAAATTTAAAACGGTTTATCGCCCCACCTCCTTTATCTCGTGGTAAAGAGAAACGAAACCTTGGAAATGGGAAAACTAGCGACTACAATATATCACCTGCAAGTGCTTTGTCTTCAACTGCCTTTCCAACAGCTAATTTGGTATCTTGGGCAACGTTCAAGTCGTTGGTTATAGAATAATCAAAAATACATTCTATCTCGTTTTCACCACCACATTGTATTTTGGCTTCTTCCAACTTTGCCGGATCAATATCTGCTAGAAACTTTGGTACGAAATCCGGAAAGCTAAATTGATCGTGGCTTTTTCCTTCGGCATATTTAAATATGCTTTCCTCTGCAGTGGTTATCCCTGAAAATGTTATAATGATATATCAATGAAAATATCTAAAATGTATTGACAATTTGATAACTGTAACAAAAGAATTTGTATTTGATTAGTAACGTTTCTATGAAAAGACAAAATATTAATATTTTACGCACAAAATATTATTTACATACATGTCTTTCCAAACTGTTGAAATATTTCTTTGTCGTTGGATGTATCAGGTATAGAAGTTGTACTTCCTTTTGGAATCAAGTCATCCGATTTATCACCATTGAAGTTACCTAGTAACCCGATCATTTGACCTTTAAAATCATCACCCGCAAAAGAAATGCTGTACTGCAGTAGACCATTACTTTCTGACACGGTAAATCGAACACCTATACAAATAAACAACAATCAGATTTATTTGAAACAAAAAACAACAACAAAATGTTCAATGTAGCCATTGCACAAAAAAATACTTTAATTCTGTGACATTAGAAAAGGCGGGAAAATATAGATTATTGTATATACTAGTAAAAATAATCCATAAATAATATGATACCATGAAGAATTCAAGCGAACTTCGGCATAGTTGAGCATAGATTAGATTTATTAAAGGGAAAATAAAAGACGATTAAATCGCTTGGAGAAAAAGAAAAGGACAATTGAAACTCTTAGCACAAAAAGATATATACTTTATTTTAAAAGAAACATGGACATACTGGTTTGTTTATTATATTAAGTTCTTTAAAGCACTTTATTGGTCAGTTATTGTGTTAACCTGTTCCAACAATAATGTCTAAAAGGAGCATGTTGGTAATATAAAGAAAATGTAGTGTAGGGGTATTGCGTGTATTGCTTCGGACTCATTATCGGGATTTTGTGGATTTATTTATTGAGTTTTATATATGATTTCTGGTAAAAACAACCGTAAAACTGTCAGTTGTCATGACTTAAAACTCTATGTCAAGCAGATTTCCAAAATATGGTTTGATAAAAAATGGCTTTACCCCTTGTACATTTGATAATCATGTATGCAAAATTATGTCTACAATACAATACGATATTGTTAAATTGAGAAACAATAGTAATCACGTATCCGCCATAGATACGCGAAAACAACAAAAAAAACTGGATAAAGGGTGATTCCTCGAAAGCATTAATCACAATTACGTGACAATTGCAGACTCGGTTTGATTGACTCTGCACACGGGGGAAAAAGAAAAAGTGCAACACCCCTCACGCCCTGAGCGGTTTTCAATTTTCATCAAATAAAATGCTGGTTTCTAATTATCCCAAAGGATCAGAAAATATAACAACACTGATTTTTCGTGAATTTCCATGGCTTATGTCGATCAGTTATAGATCGTTTTTTCCAGACACAAAAAAAGAAATCATAATCAACTAAATATTAATACGTTGCGGCGTTGATATATATTGTAATGGACATTCTATAATATAGATCAGTGTTATGTGCTTCCAAAACAAACTTGTTTTCTCTCGTTCGTCCTGATGGGCAATACAGTAAAAATGTCTTTGAAATGCTTACTTACATATTATGAAACATTAGAATCATTCTATATGTCACACAAAAGCAAAGCAAATTATAATTACCTATTGCGTTAAAGAATGCCACTAGTTCTTTGTCTTCTCGTTTTAGATTTAAATCACTCTCTGTGAAGGAGAGCGTATTACTTTCAAAATCACTTGTTAAGTCTATCCAGTTATTATCTCCAATTTTAACCGCCACACTCATTCCGCCGGTCTTGATTTCAACTTGGACGAAATTTTCTAAGCCTTTAACTACAAACGCAGAGAAAACTGTAGCCTCTGATAGTCCGTCTGTGGTCGCAAGCCTTGCAGTCCGTGTTTGAATTTCTAGTTTTGGATTTGCGACATTGTGTTTTATAAGCAAGTATTCTCCAAGGCCATTGAATGTATAATCGAGTCCATCAAGTGTAGCAAAATGAGGATCGCCTCTACCAAATCCTGTCAATTAATTTTTTTTATATAAAAATGAATGCTTAGCAAATCACTGATTCAACAGTTATTTTGATTTAACAGATATTTGGTTCCAAATTCTAAAGTAATGGCAAAAGCAATGAAATGTTTGGCTTTTTTGAAACATATAAGCAAATTTATAAAAGACATAAAGATTTAGTTTTGTTTTGATTTCTTATTTAAAACATTAGTATTAACAAATAGTTTTCCTGTAAGCGAATAATTATTTTTTATAAACAAATGAAATATTGAGAAATACCGACGAAATAAAATGCATATTTTCATTTTCCGTATTTTCACTGTTAAAATTTATTTTTCAGTGCAGTGAAACATGTTTTCCATATTTTCACTGGTACTTTGCCGGACTACTTTCTTCTTAATTCTGCCAAAATTTAAGGGAAATTCTTTCAAATTGTAATGTCAATATATAATAAACAGAAAATTCAAGCTTTTTCTATAAATACAGGATACTTTTTCATCTTGTGGTATGAAAATTATCATATTTCATTCGTCGCTATCGCCACTCATGAACTATTTATATACATTGTACATACCACTCGATGAAAATATCTTGTATTTAGAGAAAAAAAACTTCAATATCCTCTACATATTAACCATATCCCTGCTGGAATAAAAAGTATTCAGGGTTCAGTCTGACAAATATCTATCTATCTTGTGTGATTACTAATATTTAATTGGTATCATGATAACCTTAATATTTATTATGGACAGCTCAAATAGTTGACTCTGTCAAGTACATTGAAGAAATTCAACACTTTAACTCACGTCTCCCTCCTCTGATAGTAAAGTTTTTATTTCTGAATAAAGAACAAGACCTATTGCCAATAACAATGGATTCGTCCCAAACATACACACAAATTTAGTGAATGTATTCCTTTGCACATCGGTCAATTAAGACTGTACATGTATAGAAAAAGGTTAAAAGAATGTATCCGAAGTTTGACGGATAGGACAGAAAAATGGCGATTCATAATTTATGAGAAAAATACCATAATTAATACATACCTATAACGAATATAGGAATGAAAAAACAACTCTGAATTCGAGGTCTTACTGCATAATAGAGACGACACAGATTCGATTGTGTACAACAAATATCCTTGTAAATCAAATCTTGTTGATGAAGGTCAGGATGCGATATCTGATTGTATCTTTGAAAACGACCGGCTCTTCTTGGCCGGCTACGAATAAAGCCGTTCCTTCGATATGTGCATGTCTGAAAATAATAAAGCAGTGTGACAGTCATCATACAGTTAATAGTTTAAGAAAGAAATACATTACGGGGTAGATTCTAACATGGAACTGTCTTTTTACGAAATGATAAAATAGCTTCACTATCTGGAACACTTAACCATTTAATAAGACCAAGGGTAACCATTGTCCTTGATTGTAAACCATGATATTTTACATTGAAAACAGTTGTTTATCGTTCACCTGTGTAGTGGATTTTCTAAGCTTTGCATATGGAACTTTATAGGATATGGTAATAAAAACAAAAAAGTGAGGTATCAACAGTATAAAGCCTGATCAGACTGCACGGGCATGTAGGCAACTCTCGCATGGCTAATCACTGTCGGTTCCAGCCGGTCAATTGTTAAACAGTGTAGAGCCAAAAGGAACAACCGCTGGAGGTGTCTTTCGGTATGCTTAAGTTTTTTCGTGATCGTGGGCGTTTTTCGTCCTCTCGTCATTTAAGAATGTCATTTATAACTCGGTAAATTCTTATGTTGAATAAGATATTCACTGGTACTCTAGTCAATAATTATATAATAGTATACCAATACTATATTCATTACTACACACCTCATTAACTATATACAAATGCATTACTATTTAATGTCATACCAGTAAATAAGCGCTGTTCTATGTCTAAAGCAATTAAATACCTGTCCATAGGGTGCATAAGACGCCGAAGGTGCAGCCGCGTATGTAATAGTTCCACCTTCCTCACCGACAAAGATGAAGTTATTCATAAGACGTGCCACAAACCGGTTACATGGACATATAGGTAGTCGGTTCCTGACTGCTGATTCATAGTTTGCTAAATTTGCTAGCTCCCCTTGTACCCATCTTATACACACACTCTCGCTGTCAAAAGGTGTAACAGACCCCACTGAGTATGCTACAAGGCCGTTACGATCTGCAATAATATAAGCATACCCTTATAATACCTAGAATCGAATGAAAATAAATCGCCACCTTAGTGCAATAAGTGATTAACAGCTATTAAATTTTGAAGGAAGTAATCCACTTATTGCACTAAAGGCCCGGTCACACAGTCCTCCACGGGCGTATCGCGGCCGAATAACGGCCAAAAATTTCTGCCCGTGAAGCAGACGCTGTTGGACGCTTTGAGGTCGCGATAAAGACGCGATACAGCCGTACTTTACCCGTCGTTACACGCGGTAAGAAATTCACACGCGGTTGGCCGCGAGAAAAAGTTTTGGGCTGCCCAAAAATTTAGACCGCGGGTAATCGCGGGCGGTACACGTGGTACACACGCGGTAAAGACGCGGCACCGACGCGGAACGAACGTGCTACGACGTGCTACGGCCGCGGTTAAGACGTGGTTACACGCGGTAGGATGCGAAATTTAAGCGGGTAATCGCGTGTGGAGCACGGTCATAGCACGTTTGTTCCGCGTCGGTACAGCGTTGTTATCACATGCATTAGCTTGTGTACCGCGTGTAAGCACGGACAAACGCCTTTCTCCGTGTAAACAGCGCGCCCAAATATTTGCCTAATCACGTTCAATTGCGTCTTGTACACGTCCCAAATACGATTGTCCACGGCCTAATCGCGTCCGTACAACGTCTGATTTTAGGTATATAAAAAGCGCGATTTGCCGAGCATTCGTCAGTTGTGCTCCAGACGTCAAGGGGTGAACATGGATCCCCGTCACCGTAATGACCTCGTCTTGCTGCTCCAGCAGCATCAGAACCAAGTGGTACAGGTCCATCAGCTCCTCATTGACAGAAGAAGACGAAGGAGGAGGAGGAGAGTGGTCCGGAACATCTGGGTGCGCGACTGGATTGTCAGGAGACCTGAGCTGGGGCTCTACGATCGTCTCATGGTGGAGCTCCGTAATGAAGATCCAAGGGCCTTCCAGAACATCATGAAAATGCCACCTGCCATGTTCGATGAAATAGTGCAGAGACTGACACCAGCCCTTACCAAAGAGATCACCAACTGGCGAGCACCCCTTGATCCAGACCTGAAGGTTGCCCTCACCCTTAGGCACATTGCTTCTGGCGCCAAGTACCGTGAGATGCAGCCCGGTTCGGCTGCCTTATTATATCCGTGGTAGGCCGCGATACTGCCTTGCATCACCCGCTATATGGACGCGGAACAGTCGCCGGCGTCTGTTCCGTAGGCATACCACGGGTAAACCGCGGGTAAGCCAGTTTTGCACATTTTCCACCACGGGCAACCGCGGGCAAAAAAAAAATCGCGAAATTTTACCCGCGATACAGACGCGAAAGGCTGTGTGACCGGGCCTTAAGGTGACGACATGTTAATGTTTTGACACAAACTCTGTTGTTGTATTCCGACAATTCATTTCATTTGCAAACTGAAACCATGCTCTCCTTTTTTAAAAAATACATTTCAATGTAACCAATACACTTTATTTACATGCAAGAACATATTTCTGTCAAGAACGTGATATTGAATATTATTAAAAGACATAAAATTTATCGGCTTTCAAAAGAGTATCACTTTAGTATTTCATTATAGAAATCACTGGAAACGGTTTGCCCAATGGACAAAGTTTTGAATTTTTTGAATTAAGAGACCGTTTGACATTTCCTTCACTAATCACATGTTCCTGAAATCTTATTTCAGCATTGTGCCTATTTATGACAGGATATTATTTAGTGTCGTCTGCATAAGGGTTAGCCGTACAGCTAATCGAATCAGGAAGGTCATTATAAATATTAGAAGAGAACTGATTTTAGCACACTACTATTGTGAACTGCACTTGTTACGGTTTACCGTTTTGAATATGTTCCGTTTATTTTTACTCTTTGCTTTCGGTTTTTTAAGAAAGAAAAAAGATTAATTCATGAATAATAGCTTCAGACCTTCAGACTTTAATAGTCGTTTGTCGGGGGGGGGGGGTGCCTTGTCAAATTCTGCTTTAAATCTAGGTACACTATATCGATATCATGACTTGTGTCTATTCCCTTAGACCAGTCCTATATACATGCTGGTATACAGACGATCTGCTTGCGTTCCTTATAGTGTTGCTTCATGTACGATAACATATATCTTGATAAGGTTATAATTACTTATTGAAATATAAAAGACGACGTTAAATGTTTATGACAATTTTAGCTCATCATACTTACTTTTTAAATTAAGAAATTGATCAGGTCTTTTTAGGGTAGTAAAATCTGCACTGTCTACCAGACCATTAGGCAGTCCGTTTGCTACAACACCGATAAATTGTCTTCCGTTTTTGAATTTCATTTCTCCGTCAACATATGTGTAAAACATATATGCATTATTCAGATCTGACACATAGGTCATTTGCATCGTGACTGTCTGAAATAAAAGAGAAGAGTCTTTAAAAAGGTGTATACTTTGGGAATAAAGAAAAATGAAAACTATAAAATAGAATTTATTTGAATTTTGCATAATCTCAGAAATGTGATGACAGAAACATTCTAGTTAGCAAAAAATTGTAAGGGCACCACATATTAAACACTTTTGATAAATACCAAGTCGCAGAAAAAAAAACTTTCTCCTTTTCATAAAACTTCAGTTTCAATTTAAACATTTGGTAAACTAAAAATTCATTTCTTCATAATTATTATTTATAATTAATATTACAATACCAACCTCGTCAGCTAGTCCACCACTTCGTCGACAAGCTGCCCATGTCACTTTCAAAAGGAAAATCGACTCAAACGTTGGATTATATATGCTGTGCACATACTCTTCAACCACCTTCTTTTCAGTACTGTCATTGCTAAGATCACCCGCCGCAGCACTATAAGCATGGTACCATATATTTCCGACGGAGGAAATATCTATATCAGCAAAATACGGACAGGCTACGTAGCGACCTGACAAATAGGGTTGTTTTACATTGTTCGACGGTGGATCTGGACTCTCTAATGGTGATCCAAATGAAACCACCCCATTCACGCATACCTGAAAATGTTTGCATACGTTTGAACATGATTATGATGGTATGGATTTGTTAGTTCGAAACTAGTGGAACTGAACACCGTTACACGTTGGCGCAAAGAAATTAAACTTACGGATCATCGTGAGGACAAATAAGAACTGTCTAGATTACTAGTATACAGGTCGCAGCGGAAATGTTCTGATACTTGAGACTGTGCTATACATAATGTTTCGCATCTGATCCGAGTTATACGGGGAGAGCCGATGTTTAACGATTGATCAGACTGGTATTTCCGTTAGCTGTACACAGACTGGTATTTCCGTTAGCTGTACACAGACTGGTATTTCCGTTAGCTGTACACATGCTGGAAATTCATCTGACATTGGGTGCCAAGTAAGTCACTCCAAAATTGATTTGGCCGTTATGAATAAGACTGTAAATTTAAACTACGTTGAAATAAAACTTATTAAAAGTATAATAGTATCCGTCCTCAGGGTACATACCCATGGGAGGTAACTAGGCAATGTATGCTTTTTAAAATCAAGAAATGAGAAATTAAATGATACCAGTTCTAACTCTACTATTCTAATATAATATGTGAACATTTAAAAGAAGATTACAAAAATATGTGCGACTTACATATACGGCATTGAAGCCTAGTGTCTTTAGAAATGGAAGCTTGAAGGCAAATTCTAATTTTGTACATCCATCATTTGACCTAGCAATGCTAGTATCTTGTAGTGCTGAACCATAATCCAGTAACAGAGAAGCTGGAAAAGAAATCAAATGAGCCGCGTCACGACAAAAACAACGTAATGCGTTTGCGACCAGCATGGATCCAGACCAGCCTGCGAATCCGCGCAGTCTGATCAGGATCCATGCTGTTCGCTATCAGTTTTTCTACTTGTAATAGGGTTTGTAAGCGAACAGCATGGACCCTGATGAGACTGCGCGGATTCGCAGGCTGGTCTGGATCCATGCTTGTCGCAAACGCATTACGTTGGCTCAAATGTGTATGTGGATTTATTGTAGTAATTGAGTTGCTGTTTTTGGTTTTCGATGTTTTTAACAATCTACTTTTATGATCAATCTTGTTTTGAAAAAAAAAATGTGAGAACAATAATTAATGTAAATGAAATGGGAATTTAAACAAGTTTTTTGTTTTGTGTTTCCGGTCATTAATTGACTCCTTAAAATGACTTAAAATAAAGGGATCGGTTTTAAGCAAATTATGAGTAGACTTTTTATATTGCTAAATTATCAATGTCGTGAATTTTATAAATATACACCTAATACATACATCTGATACATATGAGCCGCGTCACGACAAAACCAACATAGTGCGTTTGCGACCAGCATGGATCCAGACCAGCCTGCGCACCCGCGTAGTCTGATCAGGATCCATGCTGTTCGCTTACCAACGGTTGCGCAGCTGGTCTGGATCCATGCTGGCCGCAAACGCACTATGTTTGTTTTGTCGTGACGCGGCTCATATGTCTTTTGATACTTTAATGAAGCCTTGTACAGTTTAAATGGGATTGTTTTGAACCAACTACATTTTGAATATGGTCAGTTATATATTAAATAGACTGAGTCTATCTTGGATTAAGTGGGTGAAATGTAAACAAAATATTATTACCTGTTTCTGGCTCTTCACCACAACCCTCTAAACCTACAAAAGAAATAAAAATAATAAAGAAACTGATACGAGACTTATCAAACATGCCGCATATTTGCTTGTAATGCCGATGTATCCTTTTTGGTAAAGTTCCAGGTTCTATTTTAGCAAATCCAAAATATTCTTGTCTTTGGTCATTGTCAATATAACACTTTGATATAAAAATGGCAAATACTAAATCATACAAGACGTATATTTAAATTTACAAAAACATTAAAACATTCCCACGTTTTGTAATAGACAACAGTTTTAACTGAATATTTTCATTTATTAAATTATTACTTAGAAATTAAATTTTGAGGAATGCTAATAAAACAAAATGCATATTTTTATTTTCCGTATTTTCACCACAAGGGTTTAACCAGCGCACGACGCAAACCGTTGTTTCCTTGAGCAATAAACTCATTGCTAAGAACTAGTTAGTTTCGGGAATGGATTTCGAGAATTTGTCTAAAAGCTTATTGCTTTCCTTCACAGTCGAATAAATTCTGTACAAGTCAAATATGCAAAATAATTTATGCAAATAATTTAATATGCAAATAATTAGATATGAAAAATAATCTACCTGTATCTTGTCGCCGATATCTTTCCAGGTAATCATCTGAAAAATTAATTATCAACATTATTCGTCAATACATGAGTATAGAAATTATATATTGATTCTTATGGAAATTATTATTATTTTTTTTTTGAATATCTGAATATGTATAAAATTGACATCCCTTAGCATTAAAATCTTCTACATATGAACCACAATTATTAGAATAATTTGTTATGGAATGAACATTTTACTGATATATTCTGTTGAAAATTGAATGATCTACAGTGATTAGGGGCCTTAAAAGGGCTATTCCCAAAAGTTTCCATGTTAAGGGTAAAACAATATCCTCACCTGCATCTGTCACTTCCTTTAGATTTGGAAGTTCCATCTCATACACGCTGCTTTTAACTTCATCTCGAACAATGGTTTCTGTCAAGAAAACAAATAGATATTTCTTTTCGAGAAAAAACAATCTGAATTTAAAATCGAAAGTACTTTCTGTTGATCAATATTTAGCTGATTTTTTAGTTTTGATTTGTTTTGTTTATTGGTGGCATTATAAAAATAAAAGCAAAATCGCTTTTGTCTATATCGGATATGAGATGGCGGTTATAACTGTGAAATCGTTATTTGAATAAGTCCAATACATGTTCATCTTCAATACCACAGTATATTAAAATCATAATTTATGTGAAAAAAGGGGGCACGGACAAAGCATAGTGTACAGGAAACCGGAGAAGTCGTTTAGAACTTGTTGTACATATTATCAACAGTCTGTCACACAAAACCCTCTCCAATTTACTATTTGCCTGTATCTAAAGTATTTAACTCTACTAATTGACAATGATTATAATATTATTTGTTCGCTTTACCTGTTTCCACTTTTTTGTTGATCCATTCGAAACTGTCAACTGAAATAGAACCATAATTTTGTTGATACAATTGTACATCATTAACACCAGAGGTCTGTTCGTAAGTGAAATATTGTAACATATGATAACTGTATTGCCACGGTGATACAACATGCTATATGATCACATTTTTTTCACTTTCATAAGCTAAAAACTTTTTCATTCTGCCTGATTAGAATGGATATCCTTGATATAATTGACATATTGATATATTAATTACATTGATATAATTGACATATTGTTATGTCCCATTAGAAATAACTCCTATATCATACTTTACAGAAAATGACAATTTAGCATTATTAGAAATGGGATTTTCTCCCATGTATCAACATGGGACTTTTCCCCCATAATCAGGATGGGAGATTTCACCCATTGGTGGATTTGTCCCGCAACGAAAATGGGAGAATTTTTAAACATTACTTTTTATGTTTTTATTTACACAATAAAGTATTTGAAGACTGCATTAATAGTTTTCTAGCATAAAATTTCATTCTTATTTTTTTCTAAATCCCCCATTATTTTTATCTCCCATTTTTATAGAATGGGGGTAAAACCCCATGCGGGATAGCAAACCTCCAGTGAGAGAATGATAAAACCCCATGGGGGACTCAACTTTGATTGTCTCCCCAGCACTCATTGTTAGGGGTATGTGAAATTTAAAGACCAGTTTTTGTTTAACTTTATACCCATTGTAAACTGAACTCTTCATTTGTTCTCTTATTACTTAAGAAAGGGTAGCTGAGTTTGCGAAAATCCCGGATTTGCAAACTTATTCCGGAAGCTGTTAAAACAAGTCTGTTAAAGGCACTTTATGCCTCAGAAATCAATATTTCAAATATTTAGAAAGGTCTGAAATGTGTTTGATAATATTATGATAATGAATTTAGAGCATTTTAGATGTTAAACAATGTCAGACAATAACATCAAATGTCCAGTAATATCTTCTGAAGTTAGCAAAATATAAACATTTAGTATTTTGACTTCCATACAAAATACTAACTAACTATAATTTTACCATTTGCCAAAGAGCAAGAGCAGCGATGGAAAGTTTAGCTATATATGGCCAATTAGTAATTGTTTGGAAACTGTTATAAGATATCACAAATATATAGAAAGGTTTTGAGAAATAAAAATGATAGCATTTCGGGGGCTGGACGGGCCTTTAACTTACCTATTCCATATTCACTGCTGCTCGAAACCTCATCTTTATCTAAAATAAACAAGAGCGATCAGTAATCACATGTGTCGCCTCATGATGGCCAATTTCATGTTGGGACAAATTTTGTGACAGACAGACAGACAGACGGACAGTGCACAACTAAACTTGGTACTGATCATTCCTGTAAAGTTTGGATAAAATTGCACCAGTAGTTTATGAGGAGTAGTCCGGACAAGCTTTTGCGTATCTGGAAACACACAGAAAAAAAAACACCTTTTTATCAAAGGGCCATAACTCAGCCAAAAATCATTCAACCGAAAAACCCGTGCAATATGCGCAAGGACTTGAGCTACAGATCAATCCTGTAAAGTTTCATTGAAATTGCATTAGTGGTATAAGAGAAGTAGTCCGGACAAACTTTAAAAGTGAAAATAATTAAAGGGCCATTACTCTAACAAAAATCCTTGAACCGGAAAATGCTGACAATATGCACAACTAAACTTGGTACTGATCATTCCTGTAAAGTTTGGATGAAATTGCATCAGGAGTTTATGAGGAGTAGTCCGGACAAGCTTTTGTATATCTGGCAACACACAGAAAAAGAAACCTTTTTATCAAAGGGCCATAACTCGGCCAAAAATCATTCAACCGGAAAACCCGTGCAATATGCGCAAGGACTTGAGCTACAGATCAATCCTGTAAAGTTTCATTGAAATTGCATTAGTGGTATAAGAGAAGTAGTCCGGACAAACTTTAAAATTAAAAATTATTAAAGGGCCATAACTCTGACAAAAATCATTGAACCGGAAAATGCTGACAATATGCACAACTAGACTTGGTACTGATCATTCCTGTAAAGTTTGGATGAAATTGCACCAGTAGTTTATGAGGAGTAGTCCGGACAAGTTTTGTGACGGACAGACAGACAGACAGACGGACAGACAGACGACGGAGAAGTGATCCCTATATGTCGCCACTACTCCGTAGAGGCGACACAAAAATGAAATATATAAAAACAGGTATAGACTTGAATATGTAAGGCATTTAAGACGTAGCAAAGGCATTAAAAGTAACAAACCTCCATATACATGCATGCGTTTATGTTTATGAAAATTTATGAATTGTTTCAATGACACAATAAATGTTATCAATTGTGTATAAATTAAGTCATTGTACCTAGCTGAGGAAAATATTTGCTCACAGAAATCATCTATTAATTTGTCAGAATAACGTTGTGCAGAATTTTCTCTTTCTTTGTTGAAGGAAAGTGCTAGAATATTTGGTGACAAAAGCTGTAGACTTTGACATATTTGCTTGATTTTTCTGGGTTTTTTTTACTCATCCGCTTTGATATAGAGTGGTCTGTTAGTTAAAAAAGGATAATCTCAAATCTGATTAACATCAGCTCCTAATTAACGTTTAATAGGATCTGACGATCAGCAATAGCATGTCACCTTCTCAGCCAATCATCGGCGAGCTTCACAATTTTGAAAGCATATACCGCAAAGTAGGTAATGGCGTCATGCATATAGCCGGCAGGTAAACTTGCTATACAATCTTGCCATTAAAAAAATGAAGTCTGTTATTTCCAGTTTACTTGTTTCAAATTACTCCAAACCTTTTTTTTCTTACAAAAATCAACAATTTGTTTTACTTCCACGGACAACGAAATTTTGATATTTCGTCGCATGCCTATCTGTAAAAACCGGTTTGATTTCATGGCTTAAAATAGCTTTTTTTCGGGAAATCCGAATCATAATGAAAGCGGAACATATACGGTCGTTATCTGATCTACATGTAAGAAAAAGGTAGATCTGAACTTTATTAAGATTGGGATAAACAGCATATGCGAATATATTATCTAAATTCAATTATCTTTTATCAAGGAAAGAAAATGTTAACAAAGAGCGCCTTTCAATGTATAATTATAAGAGATAAAGGTAATTGTTTAATTCATTAATGTCTCAAGTGTATAAAAACAACATTGATTGTCTAAATGATTTTGATTGGAAAACTATAAATATTTAATAAATAGTTAAACTAATGACGTTCCAGCGTATTTTAATGCTTTTATTTGTTAGGGAATGTGCCTTCTAATCTTGGCCTGCACTGGTCGCAATGCGCATGCGTGGAATAAATTACCACTAGCAGACAAAAGTTTGTTTGAAATGGCCGAAAATACTTCCTTAAAAGAATAATAAATTATAACTGATAATATTCTGAATAAAAAACAATTGTTTGTCTCTAAAAACTCCATAATGTACGTGTATTTAAAAGGGAACTAGCATTGGTGTCTGACTTGTAATAGATAAATTGATTTATTTTAACATATATGTATGGAATGACTTGTTATTATATTGACTGATTTATATTAACATAAATATTTATATACATGTAGATTTACTTGGCATCATGTTATATACACACAGTAAAATAACAATATTAATAAAATAAATGTAAAAACAAAGCAATTCCAATCATCACTACATGTTAATGAATACACAGAAAGAGTTTAAAGTTAAACTGGTCCTTATAATATATAATACTGTACGACTTATGAGACAGATGTTTTATATCACGTTTAAACATCAATGATATATACATATATAGTATAATTAAGTTACTCCTACTTTGCATGAAAAATATATCTAATTTAAAAGATTCAAGATAAGTGGTAATCACATTTTTAAGGTTTAAATGTTGGCATGTGTATGACATATGAGCCGCGTCACGACAAAACCAACAAAATGGGTTTGCGACCAGCATAGATCCAGACCAGCCTGCGCATCCGCGCAGTCTGATCAGGATCCATGCTGTTCGCTTACCAAATCTTTTACAAGTAGAGAAACTGTTAGCGAACAGCATGGATCCTGATCAGACTGCGCGGATGCGCAAGCTGGTCTGGATCCATGCTGGTCAAAAACGCACTATGTTGGTTTTGTCGTGACGCGGCTCATATGTATTTGATTATTAACAGATACAATGTTGTAAAGTGTTGTAGTCATTCTGTCACGTGACAGCGAGACCGTCACAGATTGTATCAATCAAAATGCTCAGATTTTAAGACTTTATATTTTTATTCAAAAACTACACAAAGAATTGAAAGAAATGCGTCCCGTATTTATTGATGATATAATGCGAGCAAGAATGAATGCGTTTTAATTTTAATGACCATGTGCTTTGCTGATTTTTATTTAGCAATCTAAGTTTAATAACATCTTATATGTACATATACTACAAGGACAGTCAGTGTATGGTTTTCGACACATAGTCGAACTTTTTTACCGGCCAGCTGTCATTTTAAGTTACCTTAAAACACTAAGATAAAGTAAACACCCAACATATTATCCCGATCATTTTTTATTGACATTAATCGGAGTGTTCTGGCAATTCGTATTTGATTTTTTTTTTCTTTTGGGGGGGGGGGGGGGGGGCGGTGGACGGGTGGCGATTACCATCTGAATACTTCGAGTGGCGGTTACCATCCGACTGGATGATTATTATTTTCTTCGCGGTTTAAAATTACACAAAACACATTACGTTTTGCAAATCTATCTAATATACTGTTGCCGACGGTTATATGCATGTATGTGTAACTAAAACAAATAAACAAATACCTTCAATACATTCACCATTCCCAGTTTCCATGAATCCGTCAACACATTTGCACGTGCCATCCCAGCACGCGCTGTTGTTTACAAGCATGTTACAAAATGCATCTGTGCTTCCCACCAAGACGTTACAGTCAACGTCCAATGAAACGACGGCATCTACAAAATTTCAACGAATTATTTTATTAAATATCAATCGTTATGGATGATGCTGCTGAAATGATACATGAAATATTTTTCCAGAGGATTTGAAACACTCCTGTTACAAAGTTTAACAACATACAGCATTTATGTACACTGGTATGTGTGATTTGGAACTCAAACAAAGAAATTGAAACTGGCCCGTTTAGGATTAAAGTATTCCACTATATTTAGATGCAGTAACAGAAATATATATTAATTTTTAATGCCTTTTGCAATCTTTTTATATTGTTATGTCCTTTTATTAACATCTGAAGACTGTTTATTTTTAGTTTACAACGTTCTTACAAGACAAATGTTTGAACGTCGCCAAAATAGTTTGAATTGATATGTCAAGTATTTTTATTTATTTATTTATTTATTTATTTGTTCTTTTTTTTAAAGATATACTATGCTCATCTTTGAGTAAAATATTTTAATCAAAGAAATTTATTAAAACCTATGAAATGTGCATATTTTTTCGTTAGCATATACTGGCTAATTACTTAAATATCTTGTAACTCAATATATCATAAATATAATGTTCAAATAAAGATTTATCAATATTGTAAGTTCCAAAAAACATTATTTGTAAAGACATTACCGAATTTACATTTCATGTAAATAAAGGGAGGTAATTAGAAATTTATTTCCGATAAAGTTATAGCCAAATTTGTCAATACGAAATGGATCATAAATTTTAAAGATTACTTACATGTATAATGCGTATAAACATTTGCAGTACATATTTTATTAACATATTCTTGGATGTTTGGAAAATGTTTTAGAAGAAAACATCATTGTTATTATATATACATATATAAAATTTCACTTAAAAGTCGTTACATCCTGAATTACAACACACAGGATCTTTCAGAATATATTTTCATATATGTAAAATACAAAATGGCATTAAATGGATTTCGGAATTCAAAGCTCGTACTTTTGGATCACGTTTCCGAAACAAATGGTCTAGCTCGCGCGAACACTAAGGAATGTATTCTTAGAAATTATTTTGCACTTTTTAAGTAAGGGGTTTTCGCGGTGGGTACAGTATTTTTGTATTTTCTGATCGCAAGATCAGATAAATACATAGCTAACATCCACGGTCTAACACAATATTTCCCAACAGTCCTAACAACGCAATGTAGTTCTCACTCAAAACTGCTTAAAAACCAGCAATTTAAAAGAAAGAACAAGTTTTTGTTACAAGTGTCCAACAAATTACTACACATTCAAACTTTAAAAGTAGCGCTGGCTTATGGAATTGTCAATAAATGCACACTCACAAATTACGCGGATGAATATGATTTTAATCAATGAAAATGCTATTTTTAGCGATATCGATGACCGAATACTACACAAATAAATCTGACTGTCGAGTAGTTGAATATATAGTTTCTACATGTTGGACTGTTTAGGCGAGAAGATTTTTGCTAAATTATTTACTTCAATTTTAAACAACAGGTTTACCCTGAACAAAATACCTCGAAATTACCCTAACCCAAAATGCAATGGAAATTATAAATTACGAATGACTTGATTTTATTCAACCATTGTTTGTATAAATTGTCCGTGGTGCAGGGGTAACGCGCTCGTTTCACGTGTGAGAGGTCTGGAGTTCAAATCCCAGTCGAGTCAACATTTTTTTAAATTCTTTTTTTAGTGTCTTTGTTGGAAATAGCCACGATATGCAAGGATAAAGTGTGGCTATCATAAAAAATGAACATAAATGATTTTTTCAGCAACGGATATACATGTATACAATCATTTATAATCCATATGTGTAAATGCATGATCAACACCACACTTGTTCCTTATTATGTTATCGCTATTAGCGAAGACCCCCTCTAAAGGTATCTGTTCACACTTAATAACTATATGACACTGGTTACATTACCATGTCGATCGTGTTGAGCATAATTGTTTATTATACAATAATTGTAATAAAAAATACAGATTTTATGAATATTGTTTTCTTTCTTTTTTGTGTTTTATGTGCTATTTTAATACTGAGTTTTTACGTTTACTAATATTTTAAGAATTCAATTGTCATATTGACCGACGATTATATTAAGTAAAAACTTAACTGGAAAAAGTCAGTAAATTATGGTTAAACTTTTAATATATAATATTGTTTATTCTTAAAACATATACATGTACATTTGTATTTTTCTTTATCATTTTTTAAATTATCAATCAATTGAATAATTCATAAAATCTAATTTGTAACTTTGAATAATTCCTCGGCATCTTTACTAAACACGAATAACAAATTAAATAAAATGTTTCAAAGTTGATAGTGTCATATTAATACCATAAAAATGTACCTTTTTTCTCAATTATTGTACATATTTATTGTTTTTATCTGATACAAACGTATCAGTGTTTTATCATGTTTTATAAAACATGTTATTGTTGTTGTTGGGTTTTTTTTTTCGAATTGTATGTTTATGTATAATAATAATCAATAAATTTGAGAGTTGATCTGTGTTTATTAATTATTGTAACCAAACTAAGTGACAAACATTCATTTTGAAAAAAACTTATATAACTGTAAATATTTGTTCTGTTCTGTAACGATATCAAACATCTACTCGAAAACCGGGAGAGACGGACAATAAACGTGTGGTACTATTCGCCGGTCACTAGTAAATTCCGGTCAAAATAGACCAGGAGAGACCGGGAATTACCGATTGGAATACACCCCTCTATAAATAGATTTTCGGAATATATAGGTCACCAACTCATCATTCTATTCAGCTTTCGGATACATGAAACATAATAACCCACTGTGTACTACAAAATGATAAATAAAAATACCCCGAAGAGCGCGATTTATTGACGGAAAAGGTTATTTCATTTGAAAATGTTTGCATTGCGAAATTCTCCAGTTCGCTATTCATTGTATATATCGCGACATTTCATTTTTAATTAATAAAATGGTTTCCTGCGGGGAACGTTTTTAATGATATTAATATATTTCATTTAACTATTTTCAGGGGGTGGGGCGAGGATAAATAAACGTTTGTATCTGGATATATTTGACAGTAATCGATTAATATAGAAGAAGGTCTTTGGAAACTGGTGACCGTTGATGACCGGAGAAGATCGAACATAAAACAATTATTTCTTTTTTAAGAAAATAATTAAATAGGCCTACCATTTTATGAATAATTCCGAGCAAAAAAAAAGTAAACACACAAGTATTTATGATGGAAGATGCCACTACGAATATTTTAATTTTGTAGATTTTCAGTATAAACAATTTATTGTTTGTAACATTTTGAGATACATATTAAAGAAACATTGATCATTTTCAAACACATCATTCAAGTTTTTCCACCTTAAACGGTAACATAATTATAGAAAATTAAAAATATCACGTAATAGTTTTTTGTTCTTAATTAGGTGTCTAATTCCCTAGAGGATTATCTGTAACGTACCAGCCAACGGTATTTATCCAGGTTTTAGACCACAGCTGTTTTCTCTCGGCCAATCAGAGAGGCTTAAAAGTGTTTGATATATCCCACACATCACAGTAAAGTGTTTGATATAACTATCTTAGACCACAGCTGTTTTCTCTCGGCCAATCAGAGAGGCTTAAAAGTGTTTGATATATCCCACACATCACAGTAAAGTGTTTGATATAACTATCTTAGACCACAGCTGTTTTCTCTCGGCCAATCAGAGAGGCTTAAAAGTGTTTGATATATCCCACACATCACAGTAAAGTGTTTGATATAACTATCATGTTTGTATTCAACTGAAAGGAAAAACCCGTTATATGCACGCTTTATGAGGGGAAAATTTCTATGTACATTGTATATTGTAAAGTAAATACATGTAGTGTAATTCCCTTCTTAAAAAAACAAACAGATAGCAATAGTCCTTTGACCAATTTATTTCGACATTTCATCACTTTACAAGAATAGTTACTGTATTTGTAAGTAAGAAAAAACTAGCAATAATCAATTGAAATGCGTTTATCTATCTATTTAAATCTATATATGTATCTAAATTTTACGACGGCTTTTGTACAAATATTTTCAGGCACTGTGATTTCAATAATCGCATCCTGAATTATGTCCGGATCACTCTTAATAGCAGACACTGTAGATGTACATTCATTTACAGGTTTTAGAAGAGGGGATTCCACTGGTGGGCAAGGGGGTGGAGTTTCCGAACGGTGACTTGCAACGCTAAGGACATTCTATGCTTTTAGGCTTCAGAGGGACGTTTGTAATATTTGTTTCAGTTCATGAATGAAGTAAAAATGTCAATGCAGGATGTATATAAAGCATACAATAAATAAACGAATATATACTCAAGTAAAATATTTTCAACTTCAGCCGGACAACCAATAAATATCCTGAACCCTAGGGTTGTTTAAGCATTAAGGAAAACGTTTAATGAAAGTTACCTGCCCGTTTCTCTAGCGAGCCCACTCTTGATAAGTAGCCATCGCCAATGATTTCTGTCTAAGAGTATATTTCGGTAAGCAGTCTTGCTTCCAAGCGCTGTGTACGGTGTTATGTCATTAAATCATTTAAATAAGGAATCAACAGGAATAACAACAAAATCTCCCCACGTTGCGAAATTATAATGTTATCACATTCAGAAATGTTAAATTCTTCCCAATTCTGCATGTGAAATCTACCTATCATTCAATAGATTGTGTATTCAGTAACTTATGAAAGAACATGAATTATGCCATTTTCTCGTGCATTTGTTTGCCTACAATAAGGCCATATAGATTGAATAAGAAATATTTGGATATCCCTTTGTAATTGTCGGAGAAAAAAAACGTTTACGCATGTTTAATCTTCACCTTAAACAGAGAAAACTACCTGTGGTCTAAGTCAGATAGATCGCTCGTACCAGTTGGATGTGAGATTTATCAACTCGCTTCGCTCGTTGATAAATCTCACATCCAACTGGTACTCATGATCTATCCTATACTCCGAAAAGGTCAATTA